CTTAGGATGCTCCACCAGCTGTGCTAGACTCTGTTCCTTCCTGATACCTGACTCCATGGAGGCACCATTTCCCCTCCCCCATCTCCCAGTGTGACTCACTGTTGAGAGGGCAGCCAGGAAGAGGCTGGAGGTACAGATGCCTATATACATGCCATGAGGCCACTGTGTACAAGGACACAACCACAGCATAACACAGGCCCTTGCTGACACAGAGGCATGCAAAATGCATAGAGACCCCCACCAGCACCCTCAGACACAGGCACACTGGGGACTGCAGTAGGGCTGTCATCACAGCTCACATCTCTACCAGAGCAATTCACTGGAGAAAAATTACCCAGTCTGTCTATCCAATGAGTCTCACTCCAGGGCAACTCTAGGTTTTGAAGGCCTGAAGACTAAATAATCTTTAAGAAAAAATACAAAATTGGGTGCAAAAATAATATTCAAAGTAAAACATAGCACAACAATTTACAAATTTAAAAAGTTCACAGCCAGGTGAGGTGACACATGCTTGTAGTCCAGCTATTAGGGAGGTGGCTGTAAGGAGGATCGAGTGAGACCAGGAGTTCAAGGCCAGCCTGTGCAACATAACAAGACTCTGTCTCAAAATTAATAATGATAATTAATAAATTAATAAAAAATAAAAAGCTGAAAAATGCCACGAAGTCCAGAAAAATAACTTATTTGTTTTAATTAATTGCCTGCATACAGACCGGCTGCTGGCCAGTCTGTGTACTTCAGATCTTGCTGCTCCTATGTCACCCAGATTCTTACAGTGCCAAGAGCTTTCAAATCATGTGTGTCAGAAATTCTGTTCCTGCACCCTCACAGTAAGGCACCAACAAGACTATTCTCTAAGCTATTCCTATGCCAGATGTCTAGGCTAACTTAAGGATATTTGGGAATGACTGACAGCACAGAAACCTATCCCATAAGCCCGAAAATCTTTCCCCACTATCAGAGCTCCCAGATGCCCACTGCCACTCTAACACCATGAAGAGAATGCAACGCAGAAGAGACTGGTCTTTACCCCTTGGGGTTAAACTATCTAATGTTTGCAGAATTGACAGAAGTTCTGGCCCTGTCAGCATCCACATGGGACCCTCCCTTGGGTCTGTCTGTGTGAGCACTCCTGAGCTTTATGGTGAATTGGTCTGTGCACTTGAAATTCTTGGCCTTACATCTCAAATAGGCTCTCAGCCTGCTTACAAAACCTATTCTCTTAACCCAGAAGAATTGTTTTTATTTTCAAAATGAACATTTCACATCTTTCTCCTCAAACCACCTATAGCACTTCTTTTTTTTTTGGTACTGGGGTTTAAACTAAGGGCCTCCTGCTTGCTAGGAGGCCCTCATCCTCAGCCTCTTTTTGCTTTAGTTATTTTTGGGATAGAGTCTGGAGTTTTTGCCCTGTAGCTAGAATGACACCATGCACAGCTATTGGGGCACATTTTATCCCCACTGGCCTAGAAATTTGATCAGCTGATCTCCACCTCCTGAGTAGCTAGGATTACAGGTGTGCACCACCCCAGCAGACAGAGGGTTGGTGTGAGAAGGGTGAGCTCTCTGGTTGCTCTTCTTTCTTGAAGAAGAAGTGGTCTTTATCGCTTCAGTTACTAGGCTAGGAAGACAGGCAGGACACTAAGACCACCTCCAAAGTTTTTGTTTGTTCGTTTTTGTTCTTTGGTGCTGGGGATCAAACCCAGGACCCTGGACAAGCTAGGCAAGCACTCTACCTCTGAGTTGCACCCCCAGCCCCCAAAGAAGTCAGAGAAGACAGTTCTGACGACGTTTCTCCACCTGCTTCCCACTGCATTTAGACTAAACCCAAACTTTTGGGGAGGTTCCAAGGCCATTCTTATCTTTATCTCCATCATTCCCAAATTCTCTCCCGGGTTCATTGACTCTCCCTAACTCCCACTGGCAAAGCCTTTTCCTATCTCAAGTCCTTTGTACTTGCTATTCACTTTGCCTGGATCATAACTGCCCACACTGGGGCACTCGTTACCTCCTCTAGCGACTGTCTGTGAGCACTGGGACTAAAGAAGCACTTCACTCTCAAGTATACTCCATGCGTTGTTCGCCCTCCACTCCCAGTCTTACCTAAAATTATCCCACGCTATTTTCTGCTTTCTTGTGATTTTCTGTCTTTCCCTACTGTCATGTATGTTTTAGGAGAGCACAGAACTCTATGTACCCACAACGCCTAACCTTAGTGGGCACACGGGACCCACAGATCTCGGCGGAGTGAATGGATTACAGCATCTGCGCACACATGCAGATGACAGGGCTGTTCTACGATTTCCTTCTGGGGCTTAGAGCTGAGAAGAGCGCATTGCCTGACATTGACACAATCCAGACGGAGACCCAGCCTCCCGCCCAGATGAAACAGGGTCAAGGAGACATGAGACAGAAGCCAGAGAGAGACCCTGACATAGACTAAGATCTGCAACTACACTGGCGCGAGGGAGACCGGGCCCGCACAAGCCCCGGCAGCAGGGGGACACAGGGGCAGGAGGGGCACCGAGGGAGGCGGAACGCGCCGGAAGAGAGCGGAGAGCCAGCGCAGCGAGTCCTGGTTCACAAGTGACCACAGCAGGTGGCCATGCGCCCGCGGCTCGGCCCGCCAGCTAGACGCGTGCGGGATCAAAGCGGTCGGGAAGGGGCGGGGAGGGGAGGTGTCAGGAACCTGGAGGTGCGAGCGAGCGAGCGAGCTTCCCAGGGGATGGCAAAAGCGTGGGAGCACAGAAAGTTCCGGGAGGCGACCGAGCCCCGGAGAGAGGAAGAGACACCCCGGAGAGACGCAGAGACGGAGAGGCAGCGAGACGGGGACAGGACCAGAGACCCGGGAGACGAGAGACGCAGACTCAGAGGCCGGAGGGACCCAGACAGACTCTGAGCAGAAGTCGCTAAGAGACCTGGAGTCGCCAAGAGGCACTCAGAGACCCGAAAAATGCGAGACAAAAAAAGCGCAGACCCATGGACTTGGGGAAAAAGTGCGCTTCAGAGAACTGAACATGAGAGGGAGAGGAAGAGAAGTGGAAAGAAGAGCAAGGACTTGGGGGTGGGGGGCTCGCCCTCTCCCCGCCGAGGCCGAGAGGACCCCCCGGGGAGGGGATTCGAGCGCTGTGTCCTTTCTCAGGGTCTCGCCTGTGGAGGGGCGGGCCAGGGGCGGAGAGAGGGGTGGGGTGACAACAGCACCCTCAGACTGGGAGGAGGGAAGTGTGAGGACGTGCGGATCAGGGTCTAGATCCGGAGCTTCCAACTCTGTGACAGTCAAAAAGCTACAGTTAAGTGTTTAAAGATGTTCTTTAGGTCAAATTTATCTCTCCTGTGGAAAGTAGGAAGAGGAGAAAAAAAAAAAAAAAAGGCGAGCTATTGCATTGGCCGGGAATCGAACCCGGGCCTCCCGCGTGGCAGGCGAGAATTCTACCACTGAACCACCAATGCAAGTAAGCACCCTACTTTTGATGAGCCTACCTGAGCTTGTAAAAGGCGGAGCCAACTGGTTAGGCGGATAGGCTCAAGAAAGGGGTGGCCCGGAATGGTTGACGTGGGTGGAGCACCCGCTCATTCCTCCTCCCGCCTAGATCCGGCCACCGGACCATAAAGCTACTCCATATGGCCAGGGGCGGCCCCACACCCGGGTGCGAACAGCCCAGGGCCCCGAGCCTCGCGTGCAGGTGAGAAAAACTCAACCCGAGCCCAGGTTCCCAAGGAGGGGGGCTGTGGGGACTGCTGGAGTCACACATCTGTGATCCCATTTGGCCGAGGTAGTGGGAGGTGGGATGCGCTGGGGGTCCTGATCCCAAATGGGAGCCCCCTCCTCAAAGTCTGGATCCCTCCCGCTAGGGCTTTGGCAAGGCAGCCCTTGAGAAACAAACCCAAAGTGTGGAGGGGCTCTCGAAGGGGTTGGAGGAAGCCCCGCTCTTTTTTTTGACTCCACAACTACCGTGTGTCTCGGTTAGTAACCTTGTCTTTCCGTGTCCTTGTCCCGAGCACTTTTGCTGTCCTATTACATTTCTGATTTATCTTCTCAGGCACTTCCTCCTGAAGTCTCCAAGTGTTCATGCATCCTTCTTCAGAAGGTTATGCTCTTGGTGTGAGGTGGGTGTTGATCCCTTTTTTGTATCCCTTTCTTGTCCCTTTAGGAAAACTCACTCTTTGCTTTCTGGCGCACTATGTGAGGTGCCGCATTAGCCATACTCCTAAATTTTGTTTTAATCGAAATGCTTGTAAGTGGAAAGATCTCTCCACTCCTACGTATGTTCTAAAGACTTAACCCTTCTTCCTAGAACTTCCTTTTCTTGGAGCACCCATTCGACGTTGCTTCTATACTAACTGCTTGATGACATCCTGACCTTTTCACTAGATATGCGGGGATGAGCTAGACTTCTGCATTTCTCTGTATGGACCGTGCAAGCCTAGAGCAGTGCGCAGATATTGGAGGAATCGAGTAAAACGGACTAAATGGGACAGAGCATCTTTGCCATCGCCAAGTAGAGCACCGGTTGAATCAGGCAGATCTGCACAGCCTACTGGGGGTAGCTTCCTATGCCAAGCAGAAGGGGAATTTGGGGGAAAGATAAATAATATTCAGCCTGCAGGCTGAGGGATACTAACTTTTATTTCAGTGCTAGTGGGGGTGCAATACATCTCCAAGGAAGCCGCAATTCTAGGAGAACTCTGAAATTTCACTCCTGAGTTCTGTCTCAAATCACTTAAATTCCCCCTCCCCCTAATAGCCTCCTGCATTCAGCTGGGTCCCGCCTCATTATACAGCCTTATGGTCCTTAAACCAGCGCCATTCCCCCATCATTCCCATACTCCCAGGCCAGTTCCTCTCATTCCCCTCCCCACTTCACCCCTTGTCTTTCCGGGAGCCTCGTGCCGGGGTCCTTGCGCTGCAGCAGGGGGCGGGGCCGTGTCCTATCCCTCCTACCCAGGCGCCGCGGGATATAAGGATCAAGGCAAGCTGGGATCCGGTCCGCGCCAGGGTCCGGAGGAGCAATGGTCACCCGGGATCGAGCTGAGAATAGGGACGGCCCCAAGGTGAGAAGCAGGTGGGGAGGGAGCAGAGGTCCCTAGTTCAGTCCGGAGACCTGGGCTCTGACATTGTGGTTTAGGGGTGAGGCTGGGGACCGAGGGTTGAAAGAGGCGAGGTGCTGAGGGAGGCGGGAGTGGGGGACCCGAGCAGCCAGGATCTGGAGGGGCAACTGCATGTATGTATGTATGAAGAAGGGGACAGGGTCACAGCAGGCCCTGCGTGGGCGGCAGAAGCAGAGGTCTTGGCGCTTGAATAATGGAGGGCTCGGGAAAGGGCTAAAATTTGAATAAAATAAGCAAGAGGAGGACGGAGCCAAGGGAGGAGAGGATGAACACTCGCTGCACGAGGGCTCTGAGCCAGAGTTGCCCCACTGCTGGCTTGCGGAGAAGCCCTAAGCATTGGCTCCAGGAGTCCGAGATCCAGGTCTTTGAAAGCGGTGGGAGATTTAAGAACAACCAGCGGAGAAGGGTGATGGCCTAGACGGCTTTGAGGGAGAAGAGGAGGCACGGTCGCGCTAGGTGTCTCCCTTTCTACACTCAAGGCAGCCAGCTCTGAGCCCTGCACGGTCCCGCCCACTTGCCTGGGCGCAAAGAGGGTCCCCAAAGTTCTCCACCGAGACAGAGACCGCACCAGTCCGAGACATACCAAAAAAACAAACCCCCCCACAAAAACACAAAAAATACCCAGAGAGACAAAGAGAGGGGAGGAGGGAGGACGAGGGAGAGGGAGAGAGGGAGAGAAGAGAGGCGAGGAAGAGAGAGAGAGGGAGAGGAGAGAAGAGGTGAGGAAGTGAGAGATGAGAGAGAGAGAGAGAGAGAGATGGTGAGCTACAGAAACGGTCCCTACGGTGTTGAGCGGAGAGGGATCGAATGGGTCCCCGGCTCTAGACAAATCTGGGGTCTTGGGAAGGGTTACAAGGAGGACGCCGGCGTGGCGGCGCTGAGTCTCGGTCCCATTGGCCGGCTCTCCTTTTCCCGCTGGTCGTAGATGCTGAAGCCGCTTGTAGAGAAGCGGCGCCGGGACCGCATCAACCGTAGTCTGGAAGAGCTGAGGCTGCTGCTACTGGAGCGGACCCGGGACCAGGTCAGTTCTTCCTCCAGCCCCGGACCCCCAAGCTTCCTGTTCTCATGCCCAGGGCTTTCCACTGGGGTGGGGAAATAGGTTGGAGTGGCAACCCAGGCCCCAAGGTGTCCTGACCCGAGCCCGGTCCTTGGAATGCCATCCCAGACCCCCTCTCACTCTCAGAACGCTATCTTCACCTCCTCGCGGGTCTGTAAGTTTCCCGTCTGGCTCTGCAAATTTCGTTCCCAGGGTGGGTCGATCTCACTCGTTGGGTCTCTAAATGTCCCCTCCCCTCCCCCACCCCCCTCATATCAGCCAGCTTCAGTTCTGCCGGTGTTTTTCACTCCCTGGGTTGCTGTTTCAAACACCTTTCTCACACGTCGGCAGTTGGTTCCATCCGGTCGGGTCGGACAGTTTCGTCTCAGGGTGGGACAGGACCATCTTGGTCATCTCACTCCACATTTGCTCGCACGTTCTATGGGCAGCGCGCAAATGCGATCCGGGGGCACCCCCCAGCTCCCGTATCCGCCCCTCCCTTCTTCCCCCTGCCACTTTCCCCCTCTCTCCCCACCCCTTTCTGTCTCTGCGCCCTCCCCTCCCGCCTGTAGAACCTCCGGAACCCGAAGCTGGAGAAAGCAGAGATACTGGAGTTCGCCGTGGGCTACTTGAGGGAGCGAAGCCGGGTGGAGCCCCCGGGTACAGCGCGGGGGTGGGGCAGCGGAGGGAGGGAGGGGGACCCCCGGAGGCTCGGGCCGGGGAAGCTGGGGCGGGCTCTGCGGTGGACGGCGGGCTTGGGGAGTGGCAGGTTCTGCTCCGAGGCGAGGTTAATAACACCCGCGCGTGTCTGTCTCTGTGTCTCCCTCATTTTCCCCTCTATCCATCCATCTGGCTTCCTGCCTCTGTCTGTGCGCCTGTCTGACCTCGGTATCTCTGCGCCCCGTCCCTTCCCTCACCCCTGCTGGGCCCCTGCCCTGCCCGCCTGTCCTCCCGCCGGCCGCACCCACCGCCGCGGCTCCAGGGGTTCCCCGGTCCCCAGCCCAGGACGCCGAGGCGCTCGCCAGCTGCTACTTGTCCGGTTTCCGCGAATGCCTGCTTCGCTTGGCGGCTTTCGCGCACGACGCCAGCCCCGCCGCCCGCGCCCAGCTTTTCTCTGTGCTGCACGGCTACCTGCGCCCCAAACCGCCCCGGCCCGAGCCGATAGATGCGAGGCCTCCAGCGCCACGTCCACCGCTGGACCCCGCCGCACCAACCCTTGGCTCAGCGCTGCATCAGCGCCCCCCAGTGCACCAGGGTCCCCCCAGCCCGCGCTGCGCGTGGTCCCCATCCCACTGCTCCCCACGCTCTGGGGATTCCGGCGCGTCAGCGCCCCTCACCGGACTGCTGCCGCCGCCGCCGCCACCTTACAGACAAGACGGGGCGCCCAAGGCCCCGCCGCTCCCACCGCCCGCTTTCTGGAGACCTTGGCCCTGAGCTTTGGAGGGATGGGAGCAGAGGCTGGGGGTGGGGTAGAGACTCCAGCCTGAGGGCAGCAGAGGGACCCGGGCGTCCGGGCGAGGTGTTGGGGAGGGCGGCGGGGCGCGCGGGCTCAGCGCGCGGGTGAGATGTGGTCTATATTAGAGTATCTATATAAATATATATTTCCCTGGTTCCTGTCCCTTTTCCCTGCCCCACTACCCTGCGTCTAGGATTGTACCCTCTCTGCTCCAGCCCAGTCCTAGTCCCTTCCCAAGTCCCTAGTGCATGGAATAAAGTGGTTATTAAATCCCCGTGTGTCCCCGAGCCAGGGGCCTGCCTTTATCTCGGCGTCCACACCCACTTTCCTTTCCCTTCTGTCTCCCATCCCCAGTCCTGCTCTCCACAGCCCAAGCTCCGGGGCAGACAGGTAAGTAAAGAAGAGAGCAGAGTGGAGCCTGAGGTTGGAACTGAAACCAAGTAAAAAACAGATATAGGGAATGGCGAAGGAGATGAGGGCCTTTAAGTGAAAGCCGAAAAAAGAAAAGAAATAAAACCGACTCTGGTGGGATTCGAACCCACAACCTTTGAATCGCTTTTTCGTCACTAGAAGTCCAATGCGCTATCCATTGCGCCACAGAGCCACCTGGCGGGCGGCGGCGTCTCGCCGCTTACGGGTACTAGCATGGAAAGGGGTGGGGGGGCGGAGGGGAGTGTGCGAGGAAATTGGGCGGGGCGTACCAGGAGCTGGTGATTAAGAGCTCAGAAGCCAGCCGGGAAGTAGCCAGCACAAAGCACGTGAGCCAGGTGTCAGTGAGGGCACGCAGGCAAGCAAAGATCAGGGAGCGAGTGCAACCGAAGTTGAGCTACCGAGCGAGTGCAAAACTCTGGCTGCCCGCTTGGGGAGTGCAACCAGCTCAGGTGTACTCCATTACTAGATGGGGTCTCACCAAATAAACTTGTTTTGTTGTAAATTTCTGTGTACTTGTGCTTCTTCTGTTTGCCATGTTACTTATGCGGTTCAGGGTCTCGATGGTTTCTCGTTCTTGTCTTGAAGGATGTGGGAAAAGGAAGTACAGATTAGTTTGGCATCATCATTTTCCATATCAGCTTCTTACTTCTACTCTCTTAGGAAGACAATAGGGATAAATGGTTTTCACCCAGGTAGCGTGGCCGAGCGGTCTAAGGCGCTGGATTTAGGCTCCAGTCTCTTCGGAGGCGTGGGTTCGAATCCCACCGCTGCCAGGCCGGAGTTTTTTTTCTTAATTGGAATGTACAAAGTCTAGTTTTATGAAGATCTCTAGAGTTAGTGGTTTCGAGGACTTTCCTCCTCGATCTTCCAGATTATACCTGTCGTCTGTATCCCAAAGCAAGAGCAGCTTTGAACAACTGAAGTGACTTCATGTCTTCATAAATTATCTCCATTTTAAGCATGTCCACAAATACAATATGATTATATCTTGAAATTAGCGCAACTTCTAATACATCTGAATGACTTCCTGTACCGTCTCTCTGTAACAATCTCCTATTACTGAGTCCAACTATCACACACTGTGAACACGTCAAAGAATAGTATCTTAATTTGTTTTCCTTTGATCAGATCCTCTGGGGTCATAAGAGAAAGTTATAAAACTAACAAATATAATCATGTCTCTACTAAAAACGCTGAAGGTTCCACCGAGATTTGAACTCGGATCGCTGGATTCAGAGTCCAGAGTGCTAACCATTACACCATGGAACCCCCTGTCTTGATGTGTTTTCGAAGGTTGTACACATTACTGTACATCTTCTTTTGCGCCCCCTCCCCCATCTTGTCATTTACAGAAAACAAATCAACCACCACGGCTGGACATGGTAAGACACCGCTACTGAGCACCTGGAATATGAATAATATGTACGGTTAGCTTCTAAAACTGAAGGCTGAGGGAGAAAGGTTGAAAGAGAAAAATAAAGTCGAAGGCTGTACGATAAAGGTAAATTTCACTAAAATACTGATTTAAAAAATGCTAATTACAAGTTAAGATTCTGAATTATTGGATCAAGTAAAATTATTAAATTCAATTTTGCCTATTACTAAAATTAATTTTTCCTTATTCTTTTTGATGTGGCTACTAGAAAATTTTAATTCGTGTACGTGGCTAGCTTGCCTCAGTACCGCTGTCAAATAGCTCTGCTTTCTCTCTACTGTCATTTTACCTTCTGGGAACTATATTCCCGACCCACTTAGCACAACTTCCTTTTAAAAGAAGACAACTGTATCTTAGTTAATCTTTTCCACTGTTTTGTTCAAAGAAGAATATATTAAGTATACCCAAATTTAAAAGTTTACAAGTTACAGAAGGTTGAAAAAAACACAGACGCCCGAACAGGGACTTGAACCCTGGACCCTCAGATTAAAAGTCTGATGCTCTACCGACTGAGCTATCCGGGCTCGTGCTAGTTGCTTCTTCTTCTATCAAAATGAGGTTTCCACGTGTGCAAGCGCACGCTCACAGATCTGACAAAGGGCTTATGTGCATCCGCAAAGGTCCGTGACACAGACTCAGGAAGCTTGCGAAGCCTGGTTGCTGCGGATAGCGCTTTCTCGAATTTAGAGCTCCAGCGGAGCTGGGAAGCCGGGTCGCAGCGTCGCGGGGGCCAGAATCGAGCGGTGCCCTGACTGGCCGCGCGGGGCCGCTGCGGGCTATGGATTTCCCTGTCGGAGAAATCCCTCCCTGGCCCCTTTGACCTAGAACTCCAACTTCTCGGGCGTCGGGGCTCCCCGCCCACTCTCCCACAGGCTGAGGAAGGATCCGGAGTGAAAGAATGCCACATAGGGCCTCCAGATGCAGTGCGCCAGGATTCCACTTTGTTCACCTGACTGGTCCTATTCCTACGGAGAAACTGAGGTTGGGAGAACCAGAGGTTGGGGACCGAGAGCGCCGGGCATGGGGAGGGTGTGTGTGTGTGTGTGTGTGGTGGCAAGAGAGCTGCTCCTGACCGGCCTACCGTGTGTGCCGGGATGTGTGTGCGACTCACCTGCATGTGGCTGTGATCACGTGTGATGTGTGACTGATTTCAGCTCATCTGTGTATGGTGAGTGATTCACATGAATGATTCACACGTAGGAATTCGAGTGCTCTGTGCTCAGTTCTGGCTGGGAGACAGGAGGAAAGGGTCTTGGGGACAACTGGAGAGTGGGCAGGCAAGGGACCCTGGGCATCAGTCAGACCTCTGACAAAACAGAGGACAGTGTCTCAATTATACAGGCGTCACCTCCTGTCTGTCTCCATTTGGTCACTCCCTCCCTCCCCAGTGGACCCAGGCTCCTGATATCCATCTGGGTGAGCAAGCCAGAGGGACCGGCTGTGTCAGAGGCAAACAAGTATTAAGAGTGCAAGACTGTGGGCGGGGAAAGGAAGCCCGAGCCACCAGTCGGGAGGTTTGGTGAGAGAGTCTGGGAGCATCCCAGAGAGAGCTGGGCCCTTCCTCAGGCCTACCTTCCCCCAGGCCCTATTCCTCTGCCTTGCAGCTCACACGGTCCGGCCTGTCGCTCATCTCCTCCCAGTCAGCTGCTGCTGTGCCCAGCTTTGCCGGGGTCCCATCATGGCAGTGTATCGCCTGTGTGTGACCACTGGTCCCTACCTGAAGGCCGGCACAATGGACAGCATCTACACCACACTGGTGGGCACATGTGGTGAGAGCCCCAAGCAGCGGCTGGATCGAGTGGGCAGGGACTTCGCCTCTGGATCGGTAAGTGCAAGGAGAGTGCCAGGCGGGACCTGGCACTGTGGGGCAGGACCCATAAGAGACCCTGAAGGAGGAGCGATTCATTCTTGTTGGACTCATCAATCCTGCTAAACTCGGGATGCTGGCCGTGACTTCCGCACCTTGCGTTTCCTGGGATGATAAACCCAAACCCGGCAGGGCTGTGGAGAGGAACGATCCCTGGGCAGGGGCTCCGGGACTTCAGCTAGCTTCCTAGCTCCTCCCATCACTGATGATGGGCGTTGGTCAAGGTGCTTCGGCCAGTGACTGGGTTTCCTCTTCTCCGGAGGGGATCTGCCTGCTTCACCATGCAGATAGCCTCATGGCCTGTATATACACGGTGCCCTGCGGCCCAGGAGGCTGGGGAACTCCAGCGCCACTCTGCTCACACATTTCTGGTGGTGACAGTTTCTGCATACAAAGGAACCACATGGGTCAGCGGCTGCTCAAGCAGAGGTGTCCATGCACCTTGCATGACCTTGGCCTCTCACCTGCTTGTTTCTTTGGTCGCCCCAGGTACAGAAGTACAAGGTGCGCTGCGCAGCCGAGCTAGGCGAGCTTTTGCTGCTTCGCTTACACAAGGAGCGCTACGCTTTCTTCCGAAAGGACTCCTGGTACTGCAGCCGCATCAGTGTCACTGGCCCAGATGGCACTGTTGTCCACTTTCCCTGCTATCAATGGATTGAGGGCTACTGCACCATCGAACTGCGGCCAGGAACAGGTGGGCCAGAGGCAGGGTGGCGCGGTACTGCAGGGGTGTCTTTTGGGATTTGGAGGTGGAGTCTCACAGGGTGTGGAGAATAGGGGTGGGATTCCACGTAGATGCTTTCTGAAAAAGTCTGCTAAAGCCTTGAAACACAAGGGCTTTTTGGACATTTATTCCTCTAGAGGCCACACACAGACGGGTACATTCCTATAGACACACACTCATACACTAATGTGTTTGTGAATTCAACCTCCCTTTGCAGTTCTCCAGAGTGAATTCCTCTGAAGCCCATAGGGCAATCAACCCGCAAGCAAGCTAGAGTTCAACAGGTGGAGAGAGCCCTAAATGTTTAGGCAGTTTGACTGGAGTAACCCTATCCTTTGCTTTTCTAGCTTTTCTAATAGGGATTAAGTTCCTGGAAGGTGAGTTAGGCTCTCCTGTTGAATTTTGGGGACCTTTCAAGGATGCTATATGTGAGCACCTCCGGCTTCCAGGTCTGTCTGCTCCACACACACAGCTTTGTGTGTCGAGATGAGTTTCAAGGATGAAAGATGGACATTCTAGGTCAAGGTGAAGCAAGTGAAGTCCATGAAGACAGACTCTACTACCAACCCCCACTTATCTGCCAGATGCTGGGAATACAAATAGTGAATGCAATGTGATTTCCGCCTTTGACTTTATCATATAGAAAGGAGACAAATGATTAGGAAGTTTGTTAGAATTTGGGGGCATGGTTGCCTCAAATCTATGATGAGGAAATCATCTGCCGTGTGACTTGCATGGAGGGGGCTATAGTTTGGGCTCAAGAGTTGGGGCCCAGGTGATGTTTACAGGAGGAGACGTTGTTTGAAAAGATATCTACATGAAGACTAATTTCATTCCTTACAGCAAGAACTATTTGTCATGACTCCCTTCCCCTCCTTCTGGATCACAGGAAACGGGAAGTCCAAGCTCGACAAGAATGCTATCGGTGAGGATGGCCTAATTTGACTTCTTTCACCTCAGATACTTCCTAACTGTGACCTCAATGCCAACTTTGGGGGCCCATTCTAATAGTGACCCTGAGTCTGAACCCTGAATACCAGTATCAACAGTTATCTAGGGAGCTCAGTGGTAGAGAATTTACCTAGCATGCCCAAGGTCCTCGGTTTGATCCTCAGCACCAAAACAAAACAACAACAACAAAAATCCAACAGTTATCCCAATACTGTCAGTGAACCTATAGTCAATCTTCCACCAACCCTGATATAGCCCCATGTCAATATTGGAAATGACCCTAGTATTGACCAATCTCAGTTCATCCTCAAACCCACTGCAGGCGCTCTACTTCTTGAGCCACACCTCCAGCCCACTGCCTTTTTTTTTGAGACAGGGTCTGGCTATGTAGCCCAAGCTGGTCTTGAACTCTCAATTCTCAGCCTCCTGAGTGCTGGGATTATATACATATGCCACCCCATCACCACCATGATCCAGTGTGGGCATTTATGTTGTCCTCAAATGCTACCCTGGGGACTGATGGTGTAGGCCAGTCTGCCTAAAGCCCTGGATGTGATCCCCAGCACAAAAAACAAAAAACCACCACCAACAACAAAAAAAAACCCTGCCCTGATCTGAAGCCCAGTGCCTGTTTTCATGGAGAAAATTCAATCTTTTTCACCTACCCAGTAAGTGACTGGGTTCTGGAATTTTAATCTGAAGTTGCATTTTAAAAATGTAAGGTTTCTACTTATCCCAAGATTGACCTGTTACTTTTACCTCTTTCCCTGGGCAGCTGGAAGATCTATGCCCCCGGCTTTCCCCGAATGGTGGATGTCAGTAGCTTTGAGGAGATGGAGTCAGATAAGAACTTTGCCTTGACCAAGACGGCACCTTATGTAGACCAGGGTGACAGGTGAGGAACAAGGCTTGGGCAGGAAGTGGAGGGGAATGACAGAGAGGCTCTGTTGGGAGAATGGGGCTCAGCAGCCTGAAAGAAGAGTTGGGGTCTCCAACAAATACAGTTTTATTCAAGTGCCAGGAGCAGAAGGGACCAGTGGGTTGAGGGGCCTAGCAGAGAAGACAAGAGTGAGGAGGTCAGTTCAGGTTTGGAGCAGAAAGGGCAGGGGAGGAGCCAGGAGTGAGGGAGACATTGGGCCTCTAGGGTCAAGACTGAGCGAAGGAATTAAGGGAATGGGGTTCGAGTTCCGCTAACTGGTTTCCACCTGTCTTTCTGTTCCCCTGTCTCCCCAGCCCTGGGAATCGGTACCTGCCTGGCTTCCCCATGAAAATTGACTTACCATCTCTGCTGCACATGGAGCCCAATATTCGCTACTCAGCTACCAAGACGGCCTCGCTGATCTTCAATGCCCTTCCTGCGTGAGACCACTGCTGTCCCTGCACTCCTGCTCACTGTCCTTTCTTCCTGTCCCTTTGAAATACATCCATCTCTGCCCCCAATGCCTCTCCCTGCCCCCAAACTCCCCTCCCATAGACTCTAAGCTCTCTTCCATGTCCCCACAGTCTCCCCTTTCCTTGCCCCTTAGTCTCCCCTGTCTGCCTGCTCTGCCCCTCTCAGAGAATCTACTCTGAGCAGAGCATGATGTTAGGGATGTTGAGTAGGACAGAGAGGCCCCACTTGTAAGTTTTAAGAAGGTAGAGTCTGACCCTCTCAGGTTCAAATCCCAGAACTCATACTTTCTAGCAGCGTGCCCTTGACTTTCACTTAGTCTCTAAACCATGTCCTCACGGATACAATGACTCTCGCATTCATCCAATGAGATAAAGGCCAGCACAAAATAATGTCTCAATAAACGTTCCTTAGTGGCAATATTCTGAGACAGCGTCTGGTCAGGCAGAATTTGCAGGGTCACTAAGGAGGCAGGGAAGTAGTTAATTAGCTGTCAGAGCACTCATTATCGGTTTAAGTCAACAGCTGGGGCTTTAAGTTCCATGTGGTTGCAGAGGGTTCAGTTAACCTCCGGGGCCCTGGAGGGGAGAGGGGTCAGCTGGGCCCAGGAGGCGTCTCCTAGGGAGAGAAGCGGGATTGAAGCAGGCCCAAGAGAGAAGAGATGAGAAAAACAAGAACCAAAAACAACAACAATAAAACAAAGCAAGAGAGATGAAGGGACGGTATGTGGGTTCTGTCAAACCCAGGTTAGGGGCAATGAGCCAGTTGCTCTGGCAGGAGCAGGAGACTCAGCTGGTTACCTGAGTAGGGGCTGCATGTGAAGGCCCGGAGGAGACCAGGACAAGAACTAAACTCTCATCTCCTGGATCTCTACGTCCAGGATAATTCTTTCAGGTCAGTGGAAGGGTGTGGAGGTAATGAGTGGTGCTCAGGAGTGTCCGTGACGGATGGGATGTGAGAGCAGCCAAAGGTAGCTCAAGCTTCAAAACAAGAACAGGTTGTGAGGCCCGGGCAGGGTTGTGAGGCCAGAGGAGCATCTAGAAGACAGAGCAAGCCTTTGAGTTGGTTCCCAGATGAATATGCAGATCTAAGCATAGGAGGGCTCCAAAGGGACCACCGTAGCCAGGCTCAGAGAAGGGCAAGAGGGAAGAGGGAAGCTGGCTTTCATTCAGCAGTGGTCCAGGAGTTAATGGCACGTTGAGTGAGGGTGACTGCAGGGTGTCCTGAAGGAAGTTTGTAGCAGACCCTCAGAGGGGAAAAACTTCTTTTTCTTCCTTATTTGCCTTCTCAGTTTCTGCTTTCATGGTTGAGCTCCTGCCCAGGCTTCATGGGAAGGCATTAAAATGTTTGTGTAGTGAGTGAGCAAGCACTTAGCCAGCTCGGGTAACCTTGTCCCTGGATCTACTGGATCACTAATCTCTGCTCCCCCTGTCCTTCCCCAGTTGTCCACACTTTTTAGGGCACATCAGCATCTTTGCACATCTACCTTATTGACTCATTTGCCACAAGTCTACTTATTCTGGGTTCCAGTCCCTTTCTTTTGGGAATAATAAGCATCTGGGGATAATAAAAATGCTCATTATTCCCCAAAGAATCATTATATCAGGGCACACAGAGCTGAGTATCGGTCCTAAGGAGTTCATAGTAGAATGGGGAATGACTTCTGTGCACTGGGTTTACAGTGTAAAGCAGGGAATGGCGAGCGTTTTCTGAAATACCCAAGGAAGGTCAGGCAAGGCATCATAAAGGAATATGCATTTGAGATGTACCTAGAAGAACAGATAGAACTCATAATTGTAGAAGATGGCTTTCTAGGAGAGACCTAGCTTGAACAAATCCCTGGAAGTGGGGGAAAGCCAATATTATTTCAAGGCTTTCTTTTTTTTTCCTGATTGTAAAATGATGCTCACTGTAAAAAATTCAAACAAATAGTATAACCAGGAGCTGATGGCACATGCCTGTAATCCTAGCTACTTAGGAGGCAGAGATCAGAAGGATCACAGTTCAAAGCCAGCCTCAAGCAAATAGTTTGTGAGACTCTCCATCATCTTGAAAAAATTCATCACAAAAAAGTGGTTCAAGGTGTAGGTCCTGAGTCCAAACCCTAGTATTACAAAATAAATAAATAAATAAAACAAAACAAAAAAATGGTGAGACTGGCTTGTCTGCCAGGTCAGGGGCATCACATTCACAGGCACATACAGTTACTTCTCCTGGGATTTGAACCAGGGACTCCCCAGGCAGCAGAACCTCCCCAGGCATTAGCCTTTTCTCCATGTGAATTGTTAGGCATTTTTGCTCTGAGAAACGACCCTGTCAGTTCTCTCCAGGCTGGACTCACAGTGGTACCAACAACCCCCAGCCTTTTCCCTCCCTCTCAGGTCCTTGGGCATGAAGATTCGAGGGCTGCTGGACCGCAAGGGTTCCTGGAAGAAGCTGGATGATATCCGGAACATCTTCTGGTGCCACAAGACCTTCACATCAGGTGTGCAGAGCCAGGCAGGGGTTGCCTAGTTTTCACTCATGTTCGTGTCCCTTCCTCTCCTTCCTAGGTCAGGGTCCTGTCCCAGTCCTCCTCAGAAGACTGCTGGAGTCAAGTGGGAGGGGGAGGGGCTCCTGGTTTCCCTGGTGGCATCTCCCAGATTCCCCTCAGGAAGCCACGAATGTCCTTGGAGGAGGGGCAGGAACAGGGGTGTGAGGATGGAGACACCCTGTTTACCTGAAATAGGGGCACGGTCACTTAAAGATATCTGATTAGGGTCGTGATTCACTCTTCCCTACTCCTACCACTAGATGTTCTGGGGTTTGGGACTTAAAAAAGACTTAGGTTCAAATCCCTGCACTGCCACTAAAGTGGGCAAGTCACTCCATCTCTCTGGCCCTCAGAATCTAGTTGATGTAGTTACACCTTCCTCATGTTGTGGCTGGGATGGCACAGCATGAGCAAAGAGCTGGACGAAGCCATCATCTAGAGAAGTGGTTCCCAGGCGTCCTTGTCCCCTCTCTTCCCCCCCCACCTCAGAGTATGTCACACAGCACTGGTGTGAGGACAACTTCTTTGGTTACCAGTACCTGAATGGCGTCAATCCTGTCATGCTCCATTGCCTCTCCAGCTTGCCCAACAAGCTGCCTGTCACCAATGACATGGTGGCCCCCTTGCTGGGACCAGGCACCTGCCTACAGACAGAGCTAGAGGTGGGTGAGGACGTCAGCGGTGGGCCTGATAGGAGGGATGTGTGCAGAAGGTAAGGGTGGGATAGCCCAGGCCCATGGGCCTCATCCTCTGGGTGGTCCTGACTCTGAATCTTTCAAGGAAAGCAGATGTGGAGGAGGGCTAGATGGGGCTTGCAATGGTTTGAAGCCTGTTCTGGGGCCTCCAAGATCCCTAGTGCTGAGGCTGAAGAAGCTGCTTTAGGACAGGCCAATGGCAGGGTGGCCAGATGTGGCAGGCCCCATCATGGAGGAGCTCTGAGGGTACGGGAGTAAAGAATGACCCTGTCTCTCTGGGACTGCCAAGCTCTCAGGTATTCTCCAGAGGCTGGAGATGTGGTTGGTTAATTCGAATTGTGGGTTGACTGGTTTTGCTGAGTTAGACACTAGGTCAGCTCTCAGAAGAGATTCCATCTGAGTTGAGAGAGTGGGAAGGACTAAGTATGGGAGGGGGAGGAGAGAACGCTGGCCTGTCCAAGCCCAGAGGCCAGGTAAAAGGTTGCGCAACGACAGACTCATCTGGAACTCATTCCGGACATTCTGTGAAGGGTGCGGTACCCAGCGTTGGCCATTAGCACAGGCATCAAGAATTGCTGAGGCTCGGACCAGGGCCCTCAGCTCCTCCTTGCCGCAGAGGACGGAGAGGGAAGCGGAACGTGGGCGGGGAGGGCGCTAAGCCTCTGTGCGCCTTCTACAGAGGGGGAACATATTCCTGGCCGACTACTGGATCCTGGCGGATGCACCTGTCAATTGCCTGAACGGCCGCCAGCAATACGTAGCAGCCCCACTCTGCCTGTTGTGGCTCAACCCGCAGGGGGCGCTGCTGCCCTTGGCCATCCAGGTGAGACTGGGGGCGGAGCCTCGGGGAGCGGGGGTTCAAGATTTGGAGTCTTGAGCCCCTCCTCTTACTACCGTCACGCAGCTCGGCCAGACTCCGGGGCCGGAGAGCCCCATCTTTCTGCCTACTGATTCCGAGTGGGATTGGCTGCTGGCCAAGACGTGGGTGCGCAACTCCGAGTTCTTGGTGCACGAGAACAACACGCACTTTTTGTGCACGCATTTGCTGTGCGAGGCCTTCTCCATGGCCACACTGCGTCAGCTGCCTCTCTGCCATCCTGTCTACAAGGTCTGTGAGACCCTGGGACCGGACCAAAGGGGACGAAGCCCGGATGGCATTCTTCCCTGATCTTCGGCTTACGTGACCTCATTCCACTCACAGCTCCTGCTTCCCCACACTCGCTACACGCTGCAGGTGAACACCATCGCGAGGGCCACGCTGCTCAACCCAGACGGCCTGGTGGACAAGGTGGGGCCTCCTCTCCGCGACCCTTAGGCCCCGCCCCTGAGTTGCTTTGCCCGGTCCACAAGCTCTGTTGGGGTTCCCAAGACCATTCCTCAATCTGTTCTTTCCATAAGCCCCGCCCCCTCCATCAGTTTCCTACTTGCCCAGCCCCTAAGCACCGACTCCCCTCTCTCCCCGGCGCTCCCCGCCAGTCAATCCCCCCTCCCCAGGTCCCGCCCTCTCAAGCCAAGGTTCCATAAACCTGGCAGCACCAGTCCCAGCAATATATATCCTGGGCTGACTCTGCGTCCAGCCAGACTCTTTCCTCCACAGCTTTTTGTGGTTGGTGTTGGAGACAGAGTCTTGCTTTGTAGCCTAGGTTAACCTTGAACTGGAGATCCTTCCGCTTCAGCTTCCCCAAGTGCTGGAATTTACAGGCATGTCCCACTATTCCCAGCACTCAGGTCATTCTTTTAGTTATCAGATATCGCAGGATTTCCTCCTTGCATGTAGCAGGGCTACAACCTGGGCAGCCCACAACAGGCAGGCTCATATGGGTGTTTGATCTAGGGTCATAGACTGCTTGGTAAAACATCTAAGTCCCTTTCTAGGCCAACTCATTAGTCCCAACTGGTCCCCAGGCACTGGGTTGTGGGTGGGTGAGCTCTGGAGCTCAGCTGTGTTATGTCCACAGGTCACGTCCATTGGGAGGCGAGGCCTCATCTACCTCATGAGCACAGGTCTGGCCCACTTCACCTACACCAATTTCTGCCTCCCGGATAGTCTGCGGGCCCGTGGTGTCCTGACCATTCCCAATTACCATTACCGAGATGATGGCCTGAAGATCTGGGCAGCCATTGAAAGGTGCTAGGTGGACCCTAAGCCCCTCCAGCCCACCAGACCTCCTGGACTCAGGGCAGTTTGGGCCCTTGTGCATATTGAAAGTTGGGGTCCTTGGGTTGGGGATTCCAGGTGTTCTCAGACTGCAGCTTAGGGAATTCCCATGGATAGGAATTGGAGTTGGGGTCCTCTGTGAACTGGCAGGTGGCTGTGAGCTAAAGAGAGGCTGGATATACTGAATACAGCAAAGGAAGGGAAGGGGAGTGACCAGAGGAGTCATAAGACCAGGACTTGTCTAACAACTCAGGATGACTGGGGCCTCCAGGTAGGCAGGGTTCCCTCTTCCTGGGTGCTGTATGGGGAGGGGACAGAACATGAGGTAGACTCTCTTCTGTTCCTTGTCCCCCAGGTTCGTAGGCAGGCAGGAAGGAAGCCCAGAGCCTCCTTGACTCAAGCAGGGGACAGGACTTAAGGGAAGCCTGGGCACTCTGTTCCAATTGGATCTAGGGGGTCCCCACTGCCTGCTTACCCATCCCCCAAATTCTCAGTGGACTCTAGCCATCTGCCTCTCCTCAGCCTGAGTGGCAGTCTGGCCAGACCTGGGCCCAAGGTTACTCCAGGGACACTGCGTCTCTTTCCTGCAGCTTTGTCTCAGCAATCGTGGGTTACTATTATCCCAGTGATGCATCGGTACAGGAGGACTCTGAGCTGCAGGCCTGGGTCAGCGAAATTTTTACTCAGGCGTTCCTAGGCCGGGAAAGCTCAGGTATCCCATCTCTGTTCTCACCCCAATCCCATAGTCTCTGAATAATACACTTCTTGCTCTGGCCTCACCCCCTTCCTTCATCAATCAATTCTTATTTTGAAGTCCACACTATTATTGTTGTACTTGGCATATAAAGAACGAGGCACACAGAAGGCTGAGGGGAGGAATTCCAGCCCAGTTTTCACTGTTCCCAAAGCCCTTGCTTCTCCACTGTGCCTCTTTTGTCCCTCCATCTTTACACACATTCATCTGTTCACTCAACTTTCAGCAAGCTCTGGCAATGTGCAGTATGTGGTAGGAGCCATCTCTGACTTCAAAGGATTCTAGAACCTTCTCTCATGCCCTCTTGTGCCTACCTTGCCAGGTAGTCTCTTTAGCCACCAATCTCTCTTCACTTCCTGTGCCACAGACCTCTGCATAGAGTGAGTTGGTCCTGCCACCACCTGACTCCTGATTTACACTTGTCAACTAACCTTAGCTGTCCTGTCTTCTGATGCTGCTTAGAGGCCTCTGAGAACTACCAATAGCAGCTTCTGTTCCTTAATTTCAGTGCCAGGCACATACCTTAGGCCACCCTCCTTTCTTCGATCTTCCTTTAGCTTCTAGGAGAACATGACCTTCTGAAACTCCTGTTCTTTCCTGGTCCCAGCCAACTCTCCATCCCTCTACCCATCCCTAAACAATAGGCTTTCTGCTGTTTCTCCTCTGCAGCTGATTTCCAAGTTCAGAAATCCCACATTCCCCCCACCTCTAGGACTTTTCTTTTTGGCATCTCACTGTCATCCTTAAGACCAGTACATGAAAATTACAAGGCACCCCTTTAAGAGTGACTGCTGGTCTTGCTCAGGTGAAAGTGTCTCAAATGTCATCTTCCAGTTCCCCTAGTCCTGGCCTGGGTTTCTGTCAGCAGGTATATGACTTTAAGCTGACTCAGTACTTCTGGTGGCCAGGGGAGACATAGGAGGTGTGGTTTCCTCAGGTCACCTCCAAACAAAGAGAACAGCTGTTACGGTTCTACCTGTGATAGGACCAGAGTTTTCTTTACTTTTAAGAAAAACTTTGAAGCGTACAGGACAGTATAGTAATGAACACTCAATTGCCTGCTTACCAGATTCGACAATGGCCAATATTTTGCAATATTTGATTAATCTGTTGCTTTTGTTTATTGCTAAAGTCTTTTACAGCAAATGACCCTCATCCTACTTCACCTCTCATCAAAGTGGCTCTTAAAAATGACATTTTCTATACAACCACAGCACTTAGCTTTTCTTTTCTTTTGCTTTTTGCTCTTTTTTCTTTTCTTCTCCTCCTTCTTCTCTTTCTCGTGCTGGGTATCAAACCCAGAGCCACACACTTCAAGTGCTCTACCTCTGACCTATACCCTCAACTTTCTCTTTTTAATTAATTGATTAATTAATATTTCTGGAGCTCTAACTCAGGACCTCCCATATGCTAGGCACGTGCTCTGTGCCACTGAGCTACATCCTTAGCCCTAACTTAACGAAACTCCAGTGACAGTCATCTCCAATGTCATCCTCATCTCTAGTCCATACTCCAGTTTCCCCACTTGCCCTCCCCCACCCCAACTGATCCTATTGATTCAGGCAAATCGAGGACCATGTGGTATATTTTGGTTCTTTGTTTCAACTCTAAAGTCTCTTTTAACTTAGAACAAGCATCCCTTCCCCCCCCCTTGCTTCTTTAAATCATATGACGTGGACTTATAGCAGAGACCAAACTCGTTCTGTAGCATATTTCCCCTTTGGAATTTATCTAATTGCTTTCTTACATTTTCATTCGTCTTGTTCCTGTCTCCTGTGCTTTTTGTAAACGAGAAGGAATATCTAGAGATTGAACTTTTTTTTGACACTGGGGTTTGAACTCAGGACCTAAACCTTGAGTCACTCCACCAGTCCTTTTTTGTGATGGATTTTTTTCAAGATAGGGTCTTGAGAACTATTTGCCCAGGCTGGCTTTGAACCTCAATATTCCAGATCTCTGCCTACTGAGTAGCTAGGATTATAGGTGTGAGCCACCGGCGCCAGGCGAGGTTGAACATTTTTGCAAGACTAGTTCTCAGGTGATGCATGTCCTCTGGGTTGCATCACACTGGGAGGCAGCTGATGTCAGGTCGTCTCACTGTTAATGGTGCCTAGAGTGATTTCTAGGCTAAGGTGGTGACAGCCAGATCTCTCTTGGATTTTTGAAAGGGTGACCTTTCCTTGTGTTTTGCAAAACCATGGTTAGTCCTGAGTAGACCTGACCCTTGGTCATTTGTTTCCTGTTTAGGACCTAGACTGGGAGAGTTGGTGCAACTCTCCTGTCTTATTTTATTAAACTTATCTCTGATCTCATACATGAGAACATTCTTTAGACTGAAATAGTTCTTCCAACTTATTCTAGATTCATTTATGTAAAAGTAAGGCACAACATTAACCTGTCAGTCTGACTTTAACTTCCATAAAATAAACAATATGAACTATGGAAAAATTCCCATGGATAGGGTGACCACTGCTTTACTCTTTTATTCCCAGTCTCCAAGTTTAGACAATGGACCATGCACAGGACATTCAGAAAAATCCCACCCACTCCCAGGCAAACACTCCATTCTTCCTCCCCACCTGTCTGTTTCTGCTCAGCCTGGCTCCAGACCTTGCATTCTTCTAACTCATGTTCTCCTGTCCTCCTAAACCCAGTCGGGTGCTTAATTTCTATTGTTCCCATTATTTCCTATTATCACCACCCTAGTTCTAGTCCTCACAGTGCTCCTGCCTTGTCCAACTGCTTCTCAACCAGTTCCCCATCTCCTGGCCTCTTGCTGCTCACTCACTAGGCCTGCTGGACAGCTGCCCTGCTAATCCTCAGAAATACCAGAAATCACAGGCTCCCGCACACCCCTGCAGCCTCTGGTTAGGTCCCCTCACCTTGCTTATGCCCCATGCTTTCTGCTTCTCACACACTCACTTCACTCTATCAACAATTACTGAGCTCTTAATATTTATAAGTATTGTTATTGATGTTGGGGCTTAGCAGTGAACAAACAGACAAGAATCCTGGCCTTACTGGAGTTTAACATTCTTTTGGGGCAACACAGAAAACTAGTAAACAAACATGTCAGATGACTGTGAATGCTAGGAAGAAAAATGAATCAGCGTTAGGGGGATTATTTGAGCTAATCCAAGGCAGGCCTTTCTAAGGAGCTAATGCTCAAATAGCTGAAGGAAGTGAGGGAGCTAATTCCGTGGATTATTGGGGTAAGAGTATGCAGGCAGAGGTATAGTAAGTGCAAAGGCCCTGAGGTTTGAGGGATATCATGAAGGCCTGTGTGGCTTAAGTGGAGTAAGCAAAGGGAAGAAAAGTTAGGAAGGAATTGAGAAGGGTCCAGAGTCAGATCAGACAGGGCCATGGTACGGTGAGTAAGGGGGGGAAGTTCTTAGAAGGTTCTAGTGAAAGGTGACTTAATCTGAGTTCAGGAGTCCAGGCACAACCAGTGATATGAATTTGGGAGCTGTTGGTAAGAGGGATGAGGTCAGTCTAGTACAGAGAGAGGAGGACTGAGGGCTGAGCTCTTCTTCCCTGAGCTCTCTGTCATTTAAAACAATTAGTTTTGCTGGGCTCTGGTGGCAACAGCCTGTAATCCTAGCTACTCAGGAGGATTACAATTTGAAGCCACACCAGGCAAATAGTTCATGAGACTCTATCTTGAAAAAAACCCATCATAAAAAAAGGGAGGGGTCTGGTGGACTGGTTTAAGGTGTAGACCCTGAGTTCAAGCCCCAGTATGGCAAAAAAAAAAAAAAATTCCTCTCCAACTCTTCCTCCTCCTCTTCCTCCTCCTCCTCTTTCTTCTTCTTCTTGTGGTATTTGGGGTTGAACTCAGGACCTCCTGCTTCCTAGGCAGGTGCTGTACCACTTGAGTTTCACCCCCAGCCCAATTCTTCTATTATATTTTATTTCTTTGAGTCAGGGTATTCAAGACCCAGTTGGCCTTGAAGTCCTGGGCTCAAGCAGTTCTCCTGCATTGGCCTTTCCAAGGAGCTAGGACTTACAGGCACATACCACTGAACCCAGCTTCTGTTGTCACCTATCCCTCAACTTGGGGAGGCCCCTTCTCTTTCCCCAGGAAGGTCTCCGTGCTGGTCCCAGTGACATTTCTCCCTACCTGCCTTCTCTGGCCAACCTCTGACCTTAGATGCTTCTTTCCACTTTCCTTGCTGTGCACTTCTTAGTAACACACTCTGGTCACCTGTCTCTGCCACTAAACCCAGCAGGGGGTGATCTGCTACTGTGTGCTTGCATAGATTTTGGTAAAAATGAGTAGAATTAAATCATTAAGTGCTAATATGGGCTGCAGATAGAAGTGCTTTGGAGGTCAGGGAGAGGCAGCTTGGTGCTCAGCTGGAACCTGGCTCCATTATGAACTCTGCCAATTGGACATCAGCTGGTCCCATCCCAGCACCCAGCTCCTATCCTGATCCCCTGTAGAGACCACAGCCTTTGCTGATGGTCATCCTTAACTCCATCTCAGTCCTAATCATAGTCTAAAGACAGTCCAGCCCTTACTCTCTCAGTCTCCCCTGCAGTGAGCCCATCCCTGAGCTGCCTCTAGGAATCCAATGCCTTCCATCCACACCCTCTTCTTTCTTCCCACACCCAGGCTTCCCAAGCCGGCTGTGCACCCCAGGAGAGCTGGTGAAGTATCTCACTGCAATCATCTTTAACTGTTCCGCCCAGCACGCTGCTGTCAATAGTGGGCAGGTGAGGCTGTAGAGGGCTGGCCTGGGGGCATTGGGCCACCAAAGGTGTGTTAAGATCAGCAATGGACTTGAGGTCAGAGTTCTGTGTGAGAGGATGGGTGGGTCAGGTTTGAAGAGGGTTTATGAGCAGGGTTGGGGAGAGAGTGGCAACTGCCAAAGGGCCAATGTCAGTGTTGAATGATGGCTGGTTCCAAGGTGACAATGGTGACTCAAGTTGGATTTATGCTGGGATTAGAATTTGTGGGCTCCTGTCTTGGTTAGGATCTGGCCAGATTATCAGGTGAGACATACCAGTCCAAGGCCCCAAAAATACTAGGATGACTTCTTCTCTGGGTCCTCCTCCTCCCTTCCTGATGACTCATTCCACCCAGTCCTGGAACATTGGGTGGGGAATGACAAGGGGTGAGCTGGGCTCCTGCTCCACTTCTGGGACTTTTCAAGGATCCCTCATTTCCCAACTTTGAGACCTAGGATGGTGGAGGTGGGATTGGGAATGATGAAGAGGGAACTGGTCCTTCCCTTCTGGCCAGCTAATCCCACTGGGGTGGGGGTCTCCACAGCATGACTTTGGGGCCTGGATGCCTAATGCCCCATCATCTATGAGGCAGCCCCCTCCTCAGACCAAGGGGACCACCACCCTGAAGAGTTACCTAGACACCCTTCCAGAAGTGAATGTCACCTGTAACAACCTTCTCCTCTTCTGGTTGGTCAGCCAAGAGCCCAAGGACCAGGTGTGTATAGAGGGTGTGCATAGAGGGTAGGTTTCAAAGGGCCTAGGACATGGGAGGTGGTGGTGGTTGTTCCAGGTGAACTTGGGGACTGACTGTTGGAATTCATGCCCACTGCTGAGCTGCCCTGGATCTTTAGCTTTCTCAGAAAATGATACTTGATTCCCAAAGACATACATTGAAGCAAATACCAACTTAGTGGCTGGGTTGCAACTTCCACCAAGTTACCAACCCATCCATTCATCCATCTATTCATCCATCCATCCATCCACCTATCCAATCATTCACTCCTCCCTCAACCACTCATGCATCCATCCAAACATTAAACAAACATTTTTGGGTACCTCCATGTGTCAGCACAGCACTGGGTTGAGTGAGACCTTCCTGCTTTCAAGAATTGTTTTGGTCTTGCTGGGGAGACATACAAGTAAATGATGAAGGGCAGCACCATGTTGTAAAAAGTACTCATATATTGATTCTTCCATCCAACATGACTTCCTGAACATTTGGGCTGTGTTGAACACTGGTGGGAAGCCATGAAACTTGTGTAGTGCTTATAGTCTAGGGACAGAGTCCTGTGGAACTGAAATGGGTATGGGGAAACCCAAGAAGGCTTCTCAGAGGAAATGACATTTAAGCTGAAATCTGTAGGACAAGTAGGAGTTTTACAAAAGAGGGGCGGGGTTGGTTTCTAGGCAGAGGGAAGGACACAAACAAGGAGCTGAGGGGAGAGTTCACTGCTGTGTCTGTGGCATCACCATGGGTCAGTGCAGTGAAATGGCAGGGTAGGATGAAGAGGAAGATGGGACTTTGTCTCACACTATTGTTCAGAGGACAATGGGACCACTCAAAAGTTTTAAGCCAGAGGTGATATGGTAGGGCAGGGGATGTGGTTCAGGTGGTAGAGTGACTGCCTAGCAAGTGTGAAGTCCTGAGTTCAAACTCCAGTACCACCAGAGGTGCCATGAGTTAGTTTATTTCAGCAAGGGTGTTTCGGGTGGCTGTGTGATGGGTAAGGGGGTCAGTCTGGGAGATGGAGAGGCGGCAGTTAAACCAAATAGCTTGGGCCAAGGTGGGCAGTCATTTATTTATTTATTTTGGGTGTAATGGAGTTTATTAAAAGTTAGGGAGGATAATTATAAAAGGGACCATGATGGCACCGGGTGGAAGCTGCAAGGAGAGAGAGAGAGAGACTTTCTTTTTTCCAGGTGCTTTTAAAACTTATGCTAAGCTATGGGAAGGGAAGAATTTGATGATTCCCAACCAATAATTGATGAGTGGGTGAATGGGGAGGGTATGGGTGGTCCTAGGCCAGGTGAGGGTGGTTTGAGCTGTCCCCGGCTAGGGTGTGAATAACCTACACACGTTTGCAATTGAAAACAAGGCTTAAGAAAGAGGAATGTTCAATCTGAAATACAATATCAAGTCATATATGTTCTAAGAGTCCCAAACATTCCCTAATTGTTGCCTGCCTCAACTTCCCCCTGAGAGACAAGATCCTGAAAAAAATCTTTTTGAGGTTGCTGAAGGGGTGGTGTTCTCTTCTGAATTTGTTAAAAGAAATTTTGCAGTACTGTGTGGGTTTGAACTAGGTACTGGGGTTTGAACTAGGTAGGTGCACTACCACTTGAGCCACTCCACCAGCCTATGAGCAGCTCTTTAATCACCAGTTACCGTCATGGCCACTTATACTTGCATTATCTATCATGCCAATCTGGTTTCTTGGACTTGCTCATAAGTCAAGTTCATGTCACATGTGAACATATTGACTCTGGTGCTAGAAAAATTGCAAATGTTTTATCTTCCTAGTTTTTTTTTTTTTTTTGGGTGCAAAGGGGTCTCTCTATGTTGCCCAGGCTTGCCTTGAACTCCTGGGCACATAGGGAGACTTCTTTTCATTCTTCTCCTTCAGTTTCCAGAGTAGCTGGGATTATAGGTATGTACTGCAGTGCCCAGCTCAGAACAGATTTTTATTTTATTTTATTTTTGCAGTGCTGGAGATTGAGTCCAGGTCCTCAAGCATGCTAAGCCTCACCCCTTGCCATTCCTAGCAAATTTTGACTTATGATCTTATATCCTGGAAAGGCCAGGAAAAGCCCTGCCTCTTTCTGTTCCCAGGATGATAAGTAGGAGTTTGTGTTTATAACAATAACAGTAGCAGTGGTCACTTCTGAGGATCATGTCTCAGTTACTGAATCAGGTACTTTATCTTAAAACACACAAAAAAGTAGTTATATTTAAAATGCCTTGCATATTACTAGCATATAAATGTTCAATAAAATGGTAGTTCTATTTACAGGGGAGAAAACTGAGGTTCAGAGAGATTTATTTATTCAGCATTTTATATACAATTTATTTAGCATTACATAGCTAAGAAGTATGGAATGGCTTTGAATACAGGCTGTCAGATTCCTGTGTTCTATTCTTCATGATTATACTATAGTTTTAGAAATTACCAGTCTTGTAAATAAAGCATAAAGCTGGTTCTTTGAGCTGGACATGGTGGTGCATGCTTATAATTCCAGCACTCAGGAAGCTGAGGCAAGAAGATTGTGAGTTCAAGGCCAGTCTGGGCAATGTCTTGAAACCCTGTTTCAAAAATAAATAAATAAATAAATAAAATTGGTTCTTCGAAAAGATCAAAAATATAAAGAAATTAGTGACAATTCTCATCAAGAAAAAATAGAGAAAGAGAACATAAACACACAATATTAGGAACAGGAAGTGCACACAGCTACAAGTAGGGAAGTTTTCAAGATCATAAGGACATACTTCTTACAATTTTATGCAGACAAAATTGGAAATCTTGGTGAAATAATGATTTTCTAGGAAAACATAAGCGGTCAAAACTTCAGAAAAGTTAAAAATAGTACATAAGAGGGTGTGACTCAAGTGGTAGAGCACCTGCCCAGAAAGCTGAAGGCCAGAGTTCAATCCCCAGAACTGAGAAAAAAGTAACAAAAAGAAAGGAAACCATACATAAACGTAGAAGGCTGTAAAAGGCCTATCCCTTGAAACCTTCAAGGAACAAGTAATTCCTAAGTCATTCAAATTGCTTGGAACCATAGGAAAGGCAGAAATTTGCCGAATTGTTTTACTAGATTATATAATTGATTCTAGGACTGGCAAACCCAGGGTGTTGCACATGCTGCACGAGTGCTCTCCCAGGGAGGTAAGGCCCCAGCCAGGGCAGTAATCTTTAAGAAGGGAAGTGGGTCTCAGCAGATGGCTCCAGTCCCAGATCCACCAACTATGTAACCTTGGCTATGTAATTTGGCCTCTCTAAGCCTCAATTTCCTTATCTGTAAGGTAGGAATGATAAAAGAATCTGGCTTAAGAATTGTTACATGGTGGTGATAGTTCATGTAAGGTGCTGAAATGTTAGCTGTTATTAAGAAAATGAAATTACAAACTCCTTCCACTTACCTACAACAATCTTAAAATTATATCAGCCAATAAAGACAATAGTGTATAATAAAATAATAATGTGCCACGATGAGGTGTAGTTTATTCTGGGAATGAAAGGTTGGTTTAGCCTTATGAATCTAACAATATAATTTGTTGCATCAATAAAGAAGCACACCCTATAATCGTGTCAACATACTTTGAGGCATTTGATCAGTGTGAACAGCCATTACTAATAAAAACTCAGTGTGAAGTGAAACCCCCTGAAGGAGTTTTGAAAGTATATTTAAGAAAACACTGTACTTATGGTGAAGTAATACAGGTCTCCTCATTAAAATCAGAAACAAGAAAATGATATCCATGATTACTGCTATTTTTTTATATCCATCTAAAGGGCTATGCCAATGCAATAAAACAAGAAAAAGAAATTTTAAAACATCAGTAGTATTGACACAGTTATATTATATGTGGGTTATATCAGATGGGAAATGTGTGTTGATTAGGAGGCTGGGCCCATGCATTGTGATGGTGACCTAGTGGTGTGATGTGATTCTGAGAGGAGGGATCATCCTGTACACAGAACAGCATTGACTAAAGTGTATTGTTGTGACATTTCTTGATTGTGGCTGGTCATGCTGCAAAGTGTGACAGTGTTATGGTGATGGTAATTGTGTTGGCAAAATTTCCACTTATGTAGGTAGAATGTGAAGATGCCTCAGAACCAGGATGCTGGTTGTCCTCAGAGGTTGAATTTGGTGAAATTGTGAGGTAACCCGTGTATATTCTTGGGCCTATTTGCTGGAGTGTATCTATGTTAACCCTTGTTGTGTGATGAATATGGTTGTGTTCTTTTAGTTCAAAGAGTGGAACACACTCTGGAAGGGACCTTTGAAGATTTTTTTGGTCAATCCATCCACTTTCAGATGCAGGAATTGAGTTTCGAAGAGTTGAAGAGTAACATGCAAAGGGCTGCCAATAGAGGGAGCACAGAAACTGGGTTGGCTGACTCCCAAGTTGTGTTCTGTCCTACCCCGTGTGGGCTTTGGATGTTAGGAAGCTGTTCTGTGCCAGGCTGTAGTGGAGCAGTGGTTTGGCATTGTGATTTAAAGGACTGTGTGCACAATGGCTATAGGTACCTTTAGAAGCCACTTTGGCTGTATTTGTTAACAGCCTGACCTTCCACCTGGTTTTCTCCCAGAGACCCCTGGGCACCTACCCAGATGAACACTTCACAGAGGAGGTTCCAAAGCAGAGCATTGCAGTCTTCCAAAGCTGCCTGGCCCAGATCTCGAGGGACATCAGGGAGCGGAACCAGAGCCTGGCACTCCCCTATGCCTACCTGGATCCTCCCCTCATCGAGAACAGCGTCTCCATCTAACCCCTGCCTCAGACCACCCCAAAGGAGAAAGGTCCAAGCATGAGAAAGGCCACTTTCCCATGGTCTTTGAGATCTTTCCATCCTCCCTATTCTCAGCCTGAAACTTCACTGCATGTGGAGACCAAGATGGCTGCAGCATCCTATGAATAGGCCTTGAGCTGTGATGGACATATATTGCACTCTCCAGGGTGAAAGCCGCTGAATACAGTCAAAAGCACAAGAGAACCCTTGAAAAGAAGGATCCCCTGCACCCCTTCCTGATTTGGGGCAGCCTCTGTTCCAACCTCTTGTGGGAATCTTCCTCCTTCTTTGGGAGGCCCAGCTTGTGTTTCTGACCTCTCCTTCCCAACCTTCCCCATCCCCAAACTCTCCTACTATGCCTCCATGCCAGGGTCAATCACCCAAGCTTCCTTCTCTGCAGAAGCCTGGAAACTGGGAACGAAGGGACATGTGGTTGGATCTGTCATGTGGTCCTCTTAGCCCCAGTGCCTTTAAGGAGAGGGGAAGAATCTGAGACCAGCTTACCTGGATGTTTAGTCTAGCTGTGGTTCTCAGGACAGATACCCTAGCCCGGATGTGTCTATGGGATCCAGGCTCTCATCCTACCCACTCTTATTCCATTATTTCTTTTTGTCTTTGAGCCCAGAGATGTCAATAAAATCTAACATATTTGGATCCCATTTCATCTTTATGTTTTAATGATAATGATGATTGAGTTGTGGGATGTGCAGTGTGTGTGTGTGGAAATGCCCAGGTAGGGGGGACAGCAGGGAAACTATGGATCATCTGTTCTGGAGACAGGATGACTCCCAGCTCCACCGAGCACCCAGCTGGACCTTGTATTCCTTCTTTCACCTTCCAGAGAGTGCCATTAAGAGGGGAAGGAATATCTGGATTCAGGGACTGATAGGAAAAAATTAAGCATTTTGCAAAGCCTCAAAATCCAGCTTCTGAGGGTGGTAGTTGTTATGGATGTCACTGAAATTCAGTTCTACTCCTGGACACACGTAATACTCACTCCTGGCCCTCTTGTGCAAAGTCATGAGATGAGTTTGGGCTGAGTTGCATGCAGAAGCAGTATGGTTGTCTCCAGGTTGGCATGGATACCCTCCAGCGTTCTCTTTGCCTCTCCGGTTAGGAAGCACGTGTGGTGACTACACTTATATCAGCCTGTGTATCTGAAGGACACGAGCAGAGATCCTGTTGACTGAGCTGGACGTGGAATTGAATGAGAAATAAAATTTTTGTTGGATGAAACTTTGGGATTATCTGTTATTGTTGTATAACCTAGTTCCCTCCCACCCCCGACTTAAACAGGTGAATCTGGAAGTCTGATTTTTCTTTTTTCCAGCCATGCAGCCCTTAAAAATAGCAACTGGTGCAGCCCTTAGTCAGCCTTCACACGTCTCTCCACAACTGCCATCATCTTCTGACTTCCTGCTTCCCCAGACCTCAGATCCAGCCTACCTTACCTCCTTTGCTACCTGAATAAGATTTTGTGTCTGACCAAACTCTGGTCATGGTCTCTTTCTGGCCAAATCACAGTGTCTGTGGACAATGACAGGGTGGCTGTTCCTCCAGCCCTGTGGAACTAGTGGCAGAAGAAACAGATGACTTTAGGGTCAGAATTACATTCCTCCTTGCTCCAATCAGAGCCTCAGGTAGCTGAGGTCTTTGGTAGACTGTGTAGAGCCTCTCTACCCCACTCCAGACCTCGTCAGTGTTCCTTCTGCCAGTCACTGGAGTCCACCAGCTTCTTGGCTTGGGCTGCCAGCATCTAAGAAAGCACAAAGTGCTCATTGTATAAGCCCAGCTCCGTGAAAAGCTCCAGATCTGACTAAATTGCTATTCCAGAGCCACTTGTCCACAAACGCAGGAAAACACACTTCCTGCTTCCTTTCCCCAATCCCTGGCAGCCCCAGAAATCTTCTCCCTACTCAACCAACCCCCTTCTCCCTCTGGAGCAAGTGTGAGTGAGAGTGTGTGAGTGAGAGAGAGAGAGAGAGAGAGAGAGTGTGTGTGTGTGTGTGTGTGTGTGAGAGAGAGAGAGAGAGAGAGAGAGAGAGAGAGAGAGAGAGAGAGAGGCAATCTTTGGCTATGCCAAAGGTTGGATTGTCTCTTCCCACATCTGTGACTCTGGAAGAGGGGAATCCTCTCACAGTTGTTCTTGAAGATGTGTATTTGGGATATCCTGTGTATCCCAATTTAAGAGTTTAGCTCAAATCACCAGGTTTTGTTTACTTTAGATCAAACCCAAAGGACTAAGAAATACCTAAAGGCGCCCTCTTGTGCCCAGCTAAGGTGTGGCGGAGGCTGGAAGTGTGGACGCCTTTAACCCTGGCCTTGACCAGCAAACTACTCAGGCAGCCTGTTCTCCCCAGAGGATGGGCACTCCTGCTTGGCACAAAGGTTCCATTAGAAGTCCTGCTGGTTCTGAAAAATGCTCCCAAGCCGGAGAGGGAGGAGCCAGGGCGGATCACCAGATTCTGGTTTCCCAGAAAGCCACCTTTGAGAGTTTCGTTGGGAAGACACACTGGGCCACAGATAGGACTTCTACCCTGACTTTGGGACAAGATGTGGGGAAGGGGCACATGTCAGGCTGCTGGAGCCCTATCAGATAAAAGGCTTCTTCTAACACACACTCCGGACCCCTCCATGCTTTTTGATCAGTCTGGAAGGCTGACCCCTTTCCCCAGCTCGCCTTGATCAAGTTCCTCCATCTCAGCGGCCTAAATCTGTTAGGTAAATGGGATGGATGAGAACACCTGGAAAGTCCCTTCCTGCTCTGACATTCTAGGATCTGCTTGAGTCATGGTTTCTGTTTCCCTACCACTGTTCTTGATTTGGGGGAAGTAGCTGTGACTCCCTAGGTTCAACCCATTTCCACCAGCTTCTAAGTGGTAGAAAGACAGACAAAAAGAAAAAAAAAAAAGCATTCCCATAAACATCTCAACAGGAAAGTCCTTTCAGAGGGCAGCAAGTACAGCCAGGGAATACAACCAAACTGCCATCTGCTGGGGTGCCTGGGTGGTGTGGTAGTCAGGAAAGATTTCTCTGAGGAGGTAACACTGGAGTTGAGACCAGGGTGACAAGAACAAAGCACTTTTGAAACAGCTTGATGAGGGGAAGTATTACAAATCAGAGCAAGGCAAGAGCAAGGGCACACCTTTGAGCAACAGAGAGAAGGCAGGGGGCTGGAAAAAGGTGTCAGGACATGCATGGCCCTTCAGTCTATGGTAGGTCTTTGGATGTAATTCTAAGGATATTATTTTAAGCTCTGGTGTATTTTAAGCAAGAGAGTGCCCTGATTTGATTTTTTTTTCCCTCTGTGTGCTAGGGAATCCCAGGGATTGCTTCCTGCTTTGCAGGGCTTGGGGTGGAGCAAGGTAGGGGGTGCCTCTGCAGTGAGGACTTAGTTTCCAGTGTGGGTGGGCACTGAAAGCCAGTCCTGTGAGTGCGCATCTGACCCAGGGCCTCTCATCCTCTCCAGGTCCCACCCCTGGTCCAGGAGAACCAGTTCTTTGGTAAGCACCTACCCAAAGTTATGTGTCCATGTTTGGGTCACAGCTGGGGAGTGCCTGGTCCACATCCATATGCCAAATTCCATCCATATCCCCAGCTCCAGCCCTGGCCTTGCTCGCATCCCCACCACACCCACCTCTACCTCTGTTTCTCTCAGAAACCTAAGGCTCACTCCAGGCTTGAACCCTAATCAAATCCAGAACTGCTATTTTGGCTTTTTGGGAAAAGGGGTTAGCTTGAAGAAGACCTACTGCTAGTGGGAGGCAGGTTTTTTTTGGGGGGGGATAGATTTCCCCACTTGTGTTCACCCCATCATTTCTTTTTTTCTCTTTTTGGTGGGACTGGAGCTTGAATTGGGCATTGTGCTTGCAAAGCAATGAGTGCTTAAGCCGCACTCTGGTTATTTTGGAGATGGGGTTTCTCAAACTACTTGCCCTGAGTAGCTTTGAACTTCAGTCCTCCTGATCTCAGCCTCCCAAGTAGCTAGGATTACAGACATGAACCACGGGTGCCAGGCTGTCCTCCCATCCTATTTTGAATTAGAAGGTTATGATTGCGCCTCTCACCCCAAATGCCCCAGGACACTGCATCCCCGAGGGGCCTGACAGTGCTGTTTCCCAAGTTCTTACACCTTAATTTGCCTCCTCCATCACCCTGTTCCTCACTACGCCTGCCTTAGCAGCCCCCTGGGGCAGTCTCCAGGGCAGGGGAGTGGCTAGAAAGCCAGAAGCTGGAGGTTTTGAATAAAATTTGCATATTGAAATGATAATTTGCATATCCAGGCTCCCAATATCCTGTAAGAGTCATCAGGGTGGCTGAGCAGAGCCTTGGAGGGCGGGCCTGGCCGGCTTGACAGCTCCTGTCCTTACGCCAGGAGGGCATTGTGCCCAGGGGGATGAGACATCCTGCCAGTCACCCAGAATTTAGGCATGACTCTCATCCTTAGGTTCTCTCCTCTCCTACCTCCATCCTTTAATCCATCTTCCTGCCTCACATCACTCACTCCCTTTAGCCCAACCAAGCTCTCTTCTCTGAATGTTCACCAAGTCCCAACCCTGACCTCGTTCTTATCACTAACCTACCCAAGTAGTAAGAATCATTCTTCTTTTTTTTTTTTTTTTTTTGCAGTACTAGGGCTTGAACTTAGGGCCTGAACTTTGAGCCACTCTACCAGTCCATTTTTGTGAAGGGATTTTGTTCCAAGATAGGGTCTCTTGAACTATTTGCCCAGTCTGGCTTTGAACCTTGATCCTCCTGATCTCTGCCTCCTGAGTAGCTAGGATTATAGGCATGAGCCACCGGTGCCTGGCTAAGAATCAATAAATCATTAAATGATTCTTTCTCTTTCTCTTTCTCTCTTCCTCCCTCCCTCCCTTTCTTTTTCTTTTTTTCTTTCTTTCCCTCTTTCTTTTTCTTTCTCTCTCCTTCCTTCTTTCTTTTTTCTTCCCTTTCTTTCTCTCTCTCTCTCTCTTTCTCCCTTCCTTCCTTCCTTTCTTTCTCTCTTTTTGGTACTGGAGCTTGAACCTAGGACAAGCACTCAACCACTTGAACTACAACCCCAGCCCCAAGGATCATGTTTCCCATCCAGGTACCATGGCTGGGCCATGGGGAGAAAAACAAATCAATTTATGAACAGTCAAACCTGGTAGGGCAAATGGACATCAATCAAAGATGTTAGCAATAGTGCTAAGACAGCCATTAATGGTTAAATTTGGCCTTTCTTAAAAAAGCAATTTTTTTTTCTTGGCAGTACTGGGGTTTGAACTCAGGACCTTGCACTTGCTAGGAGGAGCTCTACCACTTGAGTCACTCCACCAGCCTGCGATCTTTTTGTTTGCATTGCTAGGAATTCAACCCAGGGCTTCACACATGCCAGGCAAACTGAAAAAGCAATTGTTGAGCTAAAATCCAAAAGAAGAGGACGCATTATCATGTCCAAGAAGTAGATGTGCAAATGCCCTGGTGTGGGAAGGAGCTGGCCTCATTTCCTTCTGTTCCTGACCCCAAAATCCCTTTATCAAAGTGCTCTTCTTCAGATGCTCTGTATCCAATATTTGCTCCCCTCCCCGCTGTTTTTGGTGCTGAGGATCAAACTCAGGCCCTCACACATAGTAAGGCGAGCTGTGACCACTGGACTTTCCCCTATACTTCCTATTCTCCTCTGCTTTATTTTTTCTCTCCCGCACTCATCACTATTAAGTTTATCTGGCTACTAAACAATGTCAACTGTTTCCCGCACTAGAATGTAAGCTCTGAGTGCAGGACTTTATTTGGGTTGCATTGTAGTCCCTGGACCTAACACAATGCTGGGCACACAGTGCAGGCTGATGAATGAGGAAATGCAAATAACATTATCCCAGAAGCAAGGAAGAGCCACTGTGGGTTTGATTAGGCTTGGTGGAATGTAGGGGTTGACATGAGCAAATGTGGATCTTGAAAAGGTCATTTTGGTCCCTAGAGCCCACCATATTCCCATCCCTCTTCCAACTCCACACCTATGGAACCGTCTCTCCATCTCAGAATCCCAGGTCCCTTTGGCCCTAACTTGGTGCTGGCACTGAGTGTCCTACCTTCAATGACGACAGGAGGGTGTTAGGGCTGGTGCTTCCTGGTTGGTAGGCACTGCCCCTGGGTGGAAGGAAAGAGGGCAGATCCGGAAGAAGGGGGCAGGAACATTACTCTCTCCTCACTCTCTCTGGGTCCCTCTCTCATCACTGCTCCTCATCTTAGTCCTGTCGCCAACTCCCTATCCCAGCGCTGACTCCCATTCCAGTACTCATGGCTCTGGCTGCCATGATTCTATCAGAAACTAGTTCCCAGTCTCGGGGGTGGGTAGGGTGGGGATTGAGTTTATTTTCTTTAGAGCACTCACTATCCAAAATGATAGCAAACAAATTGTTTACTGTTCCTTGGTCCTTCTTTACCAGCTATTCAGCGAATTCCACATATATTTTATTTCTTCCTTGTCTTTGCAATGCCTAGAACAGTGTACATTGTGATCAAGATACATCTGTAGAGGGAAGGGAGTGAGGGAGGGAGAGAGGAACGGAAGGAGGGCCTGACTCCTGACAAACTCAATTCCACTGGAGTCCAACACTCATTCCAGCCCTCTTCCTAGCTTCATTTTTTTTTTCTTGGTAAAGGTGTGTCCTTTATAAAATCAAAGTATAGCACAGATATAGTAAAATGTGTCCAGATCAAGAGAGAAAACAGGTCCAGCTCGCACGGCCTCCACAATCCAGAGGTACTCACTAGTCTGACTTGTGTAAAATGTCTTTAGTTTTGTCTGTTCTGGAACTTGGAATAAGAAAGCAGGTCCTCTATAATGTCTGAATGTCTTTCACTCCACATAATTTTTGTAGGAATCATCCACAATGTAGCTTAATTCTTTTTTTTTTTTTTTTTGAGTTGAGACATCTCACTGTAGCCCAGTCTGGCTTCAAATTTATAATCTTCCTTCCTTGGCCTCCTAAGTAGCTGGGATTACAGATGTACATTACTGTACTCTGCTGTTTAGCTTAATTCTTTTGGGGTGCTAGGGATTGAACCAGGGCCTCACACATACTTAGTAAGTGCTTTACCACAGAGCTAAATCCTCAGTCCTTTAGCTTAATTCTGTGCCCCAAATTTCACTCCAACTATCTTCTATTTGTGTATTCAACCCCAGTCCTTCCTCAGCTCATCTTGGCCCAGAAGGAACAACAGAAACCCCTTCCCTGGCCCTTATTCAGTTCTCCCTGTAGCATCTCTAGAACCTTTCTGCACCCATGTGGTCCCTGAGCCCTGACTTCAACACCAATCCAGTCACAGACTGTGGGCCTTGGGACAGAAGGATGGGCCCATTTCTGGAGCAGGCCAGCAGGACAACAGGTTTGTACCATTCCCCCTGCCCTCTGATGCAGGTCACCCCTGCCCATGGCCCTGCTCATCAGGGATGCTTGGTTCTGCAGCCAATAGAGGTGAACAGGAGGAAGGAGCTTATTAAGATGATAAAGATCTGAAGGCCCTGCCCAGCCCTCTCCCCCAATTTCCCTGGGGCCCTAGCTCAGGCTGGACTGGCTCCCACACCCTGAAGGCTCCTTCAGCCACCCATCCACCCTCTTAGAGGCAGACCCAGAGCCCTGCCTGTGGTTCCTCCCCACCAGCTCCCACAACTCCAGCCCAGACGCCTGCTCAGCCCCGCCCAGCATGCCCAGCTCACATCCCGCCCGCCAGCCCGCCAAGGGCAGCAGCTACTCTCCAGGCTCCAGCACCAACAGGCCAAGTGTTTCCCGCCGTCTGGACTCCACTGCAGAAGTTGGCTCTGCCAATTCCTCTCTGTGCCTGGCTTCCCTTGCCTGCCTTGGCCCCCCCTGTGTGACGCCCACACAGTGTCTGGGCTTGAGCCCCCTCTTGCCTCCTGAATAGCAGCCATGGCCACCTACAAAGTTAAGGTGGCCACAGGCACCGACCTCTTGTCTGGAACGCTGGACTGCATCTCACTGACCATCGTGGGAACGCAAGGAGAAAGCCATAAGCAACGGCTGGACCACTTTGGGAGAGACTTTGCCACTGGGGCGGTGAGTGAGAGTGTGTGTGAGAGTGTGAGTGTGTTTCTCAGGGGATGGAGGTGTGCGGGAGAGGGAGACAGAGACAAAGCTTGACCGGGAGAATCTGGACAGCCAAGGGACAGCTCTGAAGTTTGTGGGCTCCCAGGTAGCTGGATGCCTCACTCACACCTGGCTCCCTACCTTTTCCCTTCCTTTTTCTCACCTCTTCTCTTTCATTTCCCTCAACCCTCTTCCTCCTTCTCCACTTACTCCTCTCAATCCTCTTCCACCACTTCTAATCCCCTTCCTTCTCATCCTTTTCCATTGCCTCTCTCCCCATCTTCATCCTTCTCTCTTCCATTCTCATTCACTCTTCCAAAGAAAAGTTGCTTCATAACTGATTTAAATTTGCACTGGATTCTCAATGACTTAAAATGACATCAGACCAGCCTGTCCAGTGGGGACCTGCTCACCCTATGATGGAAGCCCTTGGACTTGATTTTGATTTTGACAGCCACCCGCTGCTATGTGACCTGAATAGATTCCTCCATCTATGTGGCCATTTCTAAATTTCTATATCTTCGTTGAGAATCGGGAGAAAGGCTGGCTGGGCCACCCCTCCCCTTGCTAGGACTGTAGGTGGCTTGGGAAGTCCTGGCCTCTCTTGTGCTTCTTTGTACACCAGCTTCATGGTTCCTGCAGCCTCACGTGACTTGGGTAGGAGGTGGGAGAGGATAGGACCTCAGGAGTTGAGGGGGATGGAGGGGTTGGGTTTCTCCAGCAGAGGACATCCAAATTGGAAGGGTTTGGAGAGGAGCCAAGTAATCAGGTCTGTGCCTAACCTCTCTGCCCACCAGCCTAGTTGAGCATCATCCAGCATGAGCAGGGCCTAGGTAAGGGGTAACCCAGTGGGAGGCTTGAGTTGCTGGGGTCAGGCCCAGCTGCTCAGCCACCCGGGTCCTGCCCAGGTGGACGAGTACACTGTGCGGTGCCAGCAGGACCTGGGGGAGCTCATCATCATCCGCCTGCACAAGGGGCGCTACTCTTTCTTCCCCAAGAACCCCTGGTATTGCAACTACGTGCAGATTTGTGCCCCCAATGGCCGTGTGTACCACTTTCCTGCCTACCAGTGGATGGATGGCTATGAAACCCTGGCACTCCGGGAGGCCACAGGTGAGCCACACCACCCTCGTCCCTGATGTAAGTTCTCTCACTCCAGCCAGACCACTCTAGTGTGGTCACCCTGGCTCCCATCAAGCCAACCAGGTACTAGGGACTCCTGGGGTCTCCTGTCACTGTCACATGTTACTCTCAATCACTGTTGTTGCTCCGGGCACAGCTTAGAGTTGTACATTGGAGGAACCCAGATGCATGAGGCCTGGGCCGGGGCACCTCAGCATCCCAGAGTCTGGCATTCCCAGATCATGTTTCTCTTACTGCTTCAGTCTGTCCTTGGACTCCTACAGGACGTCTGGCTGCTCTACCTTTGCTACTCTGGGTCCAGGCCTTGGCACTCTGGTAGGATGCCTTGTTTTTTATGCCAAAGAGCATGTCATGCAGCACCAAAAAGCCTCCCTGTTGTTCCAATAGAATTCTGTTATTACAACAGGATGCCCTTGCTGGGTGCCAGTGGCTCACGCCTGTAATCCTAGCTGTTCGAAGCCAGCCTGGGCAAATAGTTTGCAAAACCATATCTCCAAAAACCCTTCACACACACACACACACAAAAAAAAAAGTAGGTTTGGTGGAATGGTTCAAGGTGTAGGCTCTGAGTTCAAGCCTCAGTACTGGGGACAAAAAAACCCCAACAAAACCAGGATGCCCCATTGTTCCAGCTGGAGCCTTGTGGGATTTGGAAGCTCTTAGTTCAATAGCTCTCCAGGGCACCATGGCCTTGTACGTGATCACAATACTATAGTTTTATGATTTTCTTTCTTTTTTGCAGTGCTGGAGGTTTTAACCCTGAGCCCTGCACATATTAAACAAGGGCTGTACCACTGGGCTATAACCCCAGGCCCCCTTCATCCAGTAAGAGTATGTCCTGCTCCCATAGGAGGTCCTGTTACTCATGCAGACCAACAGACTTCTCCTGGTATTGAGTCAAGGCTACCCACTGTTTTCCGGGTTGCATGGTTGACCTGTGGAAGGGACAGGATCTGAGTGTCTGAGCTCTATGTGTCTGCCTTTGCCAGAGCCCTCTGTCTGGCTGCTTATGTCATCTTCCACAGGCTGCTCCGTGGGAACTGGCGGCCTATACTCTGCTATCTCTTAGCTCCACCCCTCAACATCTCTGGCTTTCCTGGAGGTGGGTGGGAGAGGAGGGTAGAACCTAGGATCCCCCGGGGCCTGGATTCTCATCCTTCCTGCAGCAGACTACCCTCTTCTGTTTCTCATTTCCCTGTGCTGGAATCTTCCGGAAGACAAGCTGGGGTCAAGAGAGACAGGCACAAAGGGAATCAGACCTGGGGCAGGGTGGGATTCCCAGGGGAGGGTCTCACTGGGGATACAGAGTGCCTTCCCACAGTGACAGCTCTGTGTGACATGGAAGCAGAGGAAGGGTAGGGTGACACTGGCTGGCTGGGCAGGAATGGGGTTGGGTGAGGTGGCTGCCATGCAACCAGGGCAGGGAGACTTGAGTCACCTGCTGGCCCTCAAAGGTGTGAGGCTTCTGCCCTAGGAATGAAGCCAAGTTGGGGCTCTATGTTTCACAACTCCAAGGGGCACTGTTCATCCAGAACGCAGCAGGAGCTGAGGCAGAGGGAGTGGGGAGAGGGTCATGAAGAGAGGGCCTTGCAGGAAAATGATGGGGGCTGAGTGACAGGCATAAGTCAGCCTGGGGACAACCAGTCAGGAGACTGGAGAAAGATGGGCCTGAATTTGGATCTCAACCTCCCTTTCATCATTTGTTCTCTGGACATCCGAACACATTTCTACCTTCTTCCAAGCTTTGATACCTTTGTCTGTAATATGGAGCTAACAACAGACCCTACTTCATAGGGTTGCTGTGGACATCCAATGACCTAACTCCTAAAAGGAATTTCAAAAAGGCTTAACAATGGTCATGGTTGCTACTAGGTGGAGGTCCAGTACAGCCTACCTTGGATCAAATCCCAGCTTGGCTGCTTTGTACCTACGTAATAGTCTTTTCTCCTTGTGAAATAGGCATAGCAGTACAGCCCTTTAGCTGACGCTGTTGGGGTCAGGGGTATTTTGAAATTTGGATTTTTCTCTGGAAGGTATGTTTATACATGTATATGTTCATACGTGTGAACATATATGAGTATATACTATGCACAGGTATGCATATCTATCTTTATCTAGCTCTCTATATACATGTTGAGTATCCCTTATGTGAAATGCTTGGGACCAAAAATGTTAGGTTTGGGATTTTTTTTTAAATTTTGGAGTATTTGCATACATGTGAGATATCTTGGGGAAGGGTCCCAAGTCTAAACATGGAAATTATTTATGTTTCATATATGTCTTATATATATATAGCCTGAAGGTCATTTTAATTTTAAATTTTTTTTGGCTGCACTGAGGTTTGAACTCAGGGCCTCACACTTGCTAGGTAAGCGCTCTGCCAGACCTCATTTTAATATTTTTAGGGCACCTGCATTCTGACTGCGACCCATCAACAGAGGTCAGGTGTGGAATTTTCCACTTGTGAAACCGTGTTGGCACTCAAAAAGTTTCAGATTTTGAAACGTTTTGAATTTGGGCACTAGGAATGGTCAACCTGTCTCAAACATGCACACAAAGACACATAACACCTTGTATTGTGTGATACATTTGCCACTAGGCCATCCCTAAACCAATGCACTACGACGTCTCATCAAAATTATGAATAATTATACCAGGTGAGTTAAATAAAGACGACATGTAGATTTAGGTAAATTTAGAACAGGTCTTTTGCTAACCAATGAATTTGCTGTGAAACATTTAATTCCCACACCTCTTATGCTTTGGAATTGTGGAAATGGATTGTTGATTTACAATAGTCACTTGTCTCATAGGTTATTCTCGTGTGGCTTAAATGATTAATATAAATACAGCGTTTAGGAAGTGCCTAGTAAGTCCTCTGGAACAGCCAGTTACTAATATTTCAGTGACTGTAAGGCAGACATCCCCCAGCAGCAGAGCCCAGCTTGAGAGGTAGAGCAGGGACGCATGGAGAGGAGGGCAGGTCCACAATCCTTCCATCTGAGATTCTGGCAGGGAACCCAGCCTTTCTCTCCCAGGGGAGGGGGGGGTTCCCATTCTTAAACATGCCCCCCAGAGTCATCCTAGGGGCCAGAAGCTGAACTCCTGATCTCTGAAGTGGGAAGGGTTAGGCAGGGGTGGGGGCCAACTTTGAGCTTTCTCCTTGGTCTCCCTACAGGAAAGACAGCAGCAGATGATACGCTCCCCATCCTTCTGCAGCACAGACAAGAGGAGATCAGAGCTAAGCAGGACTTCTACCAGTGAGGGCAGCAGAGTCTGGGGGCCTACAGGGGGTTAGGAGACCCAACCTGGGGTGGCATCTGATTCAGTAGACACTGACTCAGCTTCTCTTTGCAGCTGGAGAGTCTTCGTTCCTGGCCTGCCCAACTACGTGCACATTCCCAGTTATCACCCTCCTGTCCGGAGGTGCCGCAACCCCAACCGGCCAGAGTAAGGACCTGAGGCTGAGCTGCGCTCCTCTCACATCTGACACCTAGGTTGCAGCTTCCTCCCCAGCCCCCCCGCCCAGGTGCCAGGTCCCAGCACCATGCTTCTCCCACAGGTGGAATGGCTACATCCCCGGATTCCCCATTCTTATCAACATTAAGGCCACCAAGTTCCTAAACTCGAATCTCCGCTTCTCCTTCATCAAGACAGCCTCCTTTTTCTCCCGCCTGGGGCCCATGTAAGTGCGAGAGAGTGCAGGCTTCTGCAGAGACTGCCCCCCCCACAAGGCTCTCCTCCAGGGCTGGTTCAGAGACTGGATTGGCCAGGAAGGCGAGGGAGCTGCAATGACAGAGTACAAAGCCTGATCCTTGACACCCAATGATCTACAGACACCAAGACCTTGGGTGGTGGGACCTAGAGACATTGAGACCCCGATACCTCACTGGGTGGGTGGCCCTGCCACTTGTCCCAGCACACCTGGAAGTCTCTGTCTTGCCTCGCATCTCACTTTCTAGGGCACTGGCACTCAAACTCCGTGGCCTATTGGACTGCAAACGTTCATGGAAGAGACTAAAGGACATTAGGAATATTTTTCCTGCCAACAAGACTGTCATCTCTGGTATGGGGTAGGGCATCCCAAATAGAACATGGGGCAGTTCATGATGTGAGAGGGAGCAAGGGAGGGAGTGTTCAAGACCCAGGTGTGTGCACCCTCTGGGGCTTCCTAGAAAACATCAAGGCAAAGCTGGGGGCTTCGTTTTCCTCGAGTCCTCTTGGTGCCCATTATCTTCTTCTGTCCCATGCCTCTCCATCCCCGAGAGGGACTGGATGTCACTGTGATACACCTGCACCATTCTCCCCAGAGTATGTGGCTGAGCACTGGATGGAGGACACTTTCTTTGGGTACCAGTACCTCAATGGCATTAACCCAAGTGTAATCAGGCGCTGCACAAGGATCCCAGACAAATTTCCTGTCACAGATGACATGGTGGCCCCATTCCTGGGTGAGGGAACGTGCCTGCAAGCAGAGTTGGAGGTAAGACCCTCTCTGGTGGAGACCCTGGCCAGCCTCCTGCCTCCACCTGGGACATCCTTATGTCTTCTCACTTCCCAGGCCTACCTGAGTTCCACTTATGCCCACATCTCCCACTGCCCCATCCCTGTCCACCCACTGAGCCCTGTCCACCCACTGAGCCCTGGGGCCAGTGTATTCTGCATGCAAGTCATGGGTCCTGTTGGTGCCTATCTGTTTTCCCATTGTGGCTCCCCTCCAGAAGGGGAACATTTACTTGGCAGACTACCACATCCTGGAGGGCATCCCCACTGTGGAGCTCAACGGTCACAAGCAGCACCACTGTGCCCCCATCTGCCTGCTGCACTTTGGCCCTGAGGGTAACATGATGCCCATCGCTATCCAGGTGCCTGGGACACGGGAGGGACTCTGAGTGAGCGCGTTATCAGTGCTGAGTTCATGTGTGTGAATGGTCCTGTGTGCGTGTGTGTGTGTGTGTGCATCTGTGTGAGCATTCATGTCTGTGTGTAGCCTCCTTGTATGCCCCTGTGTGTGCCTCTGAGAGCACACCTATGTGTATGCAACATCCCAACCTGTGTGTGAGGCTGTGAGGAGGCTGGGAAGAAACCTGTATGTCTCTACATGGCACATCTGGGAGCTCCCATGGTCAGTATGTGTGTTCATGCCTGAACTTGGGTCCTGTGGTGCACCTGTGTGTAAGACCCTGTGTGTTGAGTGTTATGCTGCGAGTATATGCACCAAGGTGACTAGATGGGAATGTATTTGGTGACTTCAGCTTGTCTCTTTGACTTCATCCATCCATCCTCTTGAAAAAGAACCTCTGCTGTAGGCCAGGCCTCTCCTGGAGTACTGAGCTAATTAGACATAGCCACTGCCCACCAGTCTGGTCTGACAGGAAGAGGAACTAAGGTATTCCCTTCTCAAAGGTCCCCACAAAAGTCATGTGCAAGTTAGAGAAAGGGACCCTTCTAGGGGTATCAGTTAAGTCTTGCTCCTGGCTCCTTAGTGCAGGCTGGATTTCAGTGATGGCTCCCCCAGCACCCCAGAGGTTAGCACCCTTGCCCTTGAACAGTGTACAACCTGCCCACCTGGAGGTGGTGGCCACGGGTTGAGGTGGGGAAGGCTTCTCAGAAGAGGCAGCTTGTGAGTGCCTCTTAAAGAATGAGATGAGAGGGAACTGCCAGACAGAGACAGGGACAGGGGGAGATACTTTAGGCAGACAGCAAAGTAAGAACAAATGTGGGAAGAGAGGATGCTGAGGGGATGAGAGGAATGGAACAGAAGAGCTTAACTTTCTAGAACTTCCTTCTCTTTCCTCCTGCAGTGGAGGCTATTTTGTGTGTAGGGGTCTTTGTCCTCACTAACTCTCCCTCTTTTCCCAACCCCAGCTCAGTCAGACCCCAGGGCCTGACTGCCCCATCTTCCTGCCTAGCGATTCTGAGTGGGACTGGCTGCTTGCCAAGACGTGGGTGCGCTACGCAGAGTTCTACTGCCATGAGGGCATCGCGCACCTGCTGGAAAGCCACCTCATCGGGGAGGCCTTCTGCCTGTCCCTGCTAAGGCAACTACCCATGTGCCACCCCCTGTACAAGGTATGGGCTTGGGGGTAAGGGGACCCCAGAAAGCTGCCTGGCCATCTCAGGAGTCCAGTGAGCTCTGGGAGGCATCAGGGGACCCTACAGAGAAAGCTTGGGATGGGGACTTCCCAGAATGAGGAGGTCTGACGTTGAGATGCTGAGGTCTTTGGGGAGCAACCTCAGCCCTCTGTCATTGTCCTCCTTCCTTCCTGCCCAGCTCCTCGTCCCCCACACCCGATATACTGTCCAGATCAACAGCATCGGGCGGGCCCTTCTCCTCAATGAAGGGGGTCTTTCTGCCAGGGTAAGTCTTCTGCTGCACTTGCTTTCCTCTAGCCTTTGTAGTTACACTAAAAGCAGGACCTCCACTTGCCTTTGGATACTGGAGGTTCAGGGAGGGAGGGACAGGCTAGAGTGGGTGCTGTGTCTATGATACAGAGGCCTGGACTGTAAGGGCTCCTGGTGGTGTTGGGGGGAGGCTGGGCCTAGGGTGAGAGGTACTCTTGCTGAGTCCTGGAGGGCCTGCAGTCAGTGAGGTCCTTGGAGAACAGGTCTTGCAGGGATGCCCATCCAGCTCCAGGCGTGGTCTTGTTCCTCACAGGGCATGTCCCTGGGCCTGGAGGGCTTTGCAGAGGTGATGGTACGTGCGCTGTCAGAGCTCACCTATGACAGCCTCTGCATCCCCAACGACTTTGTGGAGCGTGGGGTCCAGGACTTGCCTGGGTATTATTACCGTGATGACAGCTTGGCAGTGTGGTATGCCATGGAGAGGTGAGATGGGGACAGCAGTGGGTGGCACTTGGGGTAGATGCACTTGGATGTTGGAACTTTTAAGGACCTGAGCTTTTGTGTCTCCCTAGGGCTTAGGCTTGGGATAGAGTCTGGGCCATCTGCTCCCTAGGCCCGAGAAGCCGCCACCTTGCTTCAGCCCATAGCCCAGCTCTGCTGTGCTGGCTGGACCCCTTCTGGTCTCTGAGTTGCTCGGGGATCTCCCCTGACCTACACTGGGGATAGCTCTGAGTAGCTTCTGGCCTTACCCAACACCCTTCCCACCTCTCCCCCACAGGCCTTGCCTACCACAGGCCTGATGCAGCTCTGGGGCCAGCCAAGGCCAGGGTAACCTGGGGAAGGTGGGAGAAACATGGTTACAAAGGGAGAAGGGAAGCTCCAAACTGAGGCCTTGTCCCCTGGTCAGGTATGTGACAGAGGTCATCACATATTATTACCCGAATGACGCAGCTGTGGAGGGTGACTCAGAATTGCAGTGCTGGGTGCAGGAGATATTCAAGGAGTGCCTCCTAGGGCGTGAGAGCTCAGGTAAGGGCTTGAGGGCTCAGGGGGACCTGGGGCTGAGGGGTGGTTCCTAGGCAAGCCACGAGGACCCTACCAGTCTGGGCCAGAGAATATCTTCTTGTGTGCTGAAGGAGGCCAAAGCCCAGCCCTTGGATCTTCACAGGGCTTTGCCCTGCTGAGAGCAGCAGCATCTCAGAGAGGGCAGGGGGAAGAAAACATGGCTGACCACACTGTCTGAGAGCAAACGCTATGGGTCATCTCTGCAGATACCTAGAGGGGTCCTAGTCCCTTATCCTAGAAATAAGTCTTTGTGGACTGAGAAATTGGGTGTGAGCTCCAACAAGAAAGGACAGTGTGCTGGAGGCTGGGGAGCTGAGGGAAGTGGCAGGCTCCAGAAGAGTGGAGTGGGAAGTGTCTTAAGTTTCTACCATGTGGGCACACATTCAGCAAATATTTACCAAGCTACTAAGATGTGATGCTGGGCTGGTTATTGAAGGAGCAAAAGGGGTTGAGACAGGCAAAGGTGCTGCCCTCAATGCTTGCACATCCTGAAATAAGGGGCTGCATTCAGTGAGTGGGTAGTTTCACTGTGGCAGTTTGGGGAAGTTTAGGGAAGCCTAAGGAGGAAAAGAGGGGACTAGAGGAATTCACGGAAGGCACTTAACTCAGCTAAGGTCAGGATGGTGAAGACAGAGTGGGATTGGAAAGCAGTAAGCTAAGGTCTAGCTGAGACTGGACCTTCCAGGGCTGAGGGTAGGGTGAACAGCTCTCAGCCATGAGCAGGTGCCAGGCTGCACAGTCTGCTTAAGGAGTTTGAAATTCCCTGAGGTGCCAGAGGGGCCATGGAGAGGTTTACAAGGAGATCAGAGTCATATGGTAGAGTAGCAGGCTGCACTGGTGATCAGGAGAGTTTGGGACATTGGTGTCCAGGAGGGAGGTGACTGGGACTTGACTAGGATAAGGGCTGGTGGATGCAGAGAATTCCAGAGCTAGTTGGGAGCTACAAATGACAGGACTTAGTCCCAGTATGGATTGGGAGTGATGGGGCTGTGACCAGGTACAGCGTCTTGAAGTACTGCCAAGACAGCATATCAGCGACTGGAAGCACACGCTCTTCTGAGTGGCCAGTCCTAGGGCGGGACTGACATAGCCTGATCCCTTTCCCACCTGTCAGGATTTCCCACATGCCTTCGAACAGTACCTGAGCTGATACGATATGTCACCGTCATCATGTACACTTGCTCTGCCCGGCACGCAGCTGTCAACACAGGCCAGGTACCTGTGCTCCCCAATTCTAGTTCCTGCCCCAGTCCCAGACCTCCTAAACTTAGCCTCTGTCCCAACTTCAAATCTAACTTCAGTCATCATCCCTGGTCCAGCCCCAACTTGTCTCAACCAAATCTGGTTTCAACCTGTCTCTATGAAAACCCTGGACCCAGCCTCTCAGCTTCAGCTCAATGCCACCCCAACTGTAGCTGCAAATCCAGCCCCAACACTATCCATCTAAACCAACCAGCCCACCCTTAGCCCACTGGACAGCAGTCCAAGTCAACTATGGGAGAGAGGGTAGCCAGAGCCTAGTGGGTGGGAACTCCTGGGGTGCTCTCTGACTCAGAACTCCTGGTCTACCCCACTTCCAGCTGGAGTTCACCTGCTGGATGCCTAATTTCCCATCATCCATGAGGAACCCGCCCATGCAGGCCAAGGGGCTGACCACTTTGGAGACCTTCATGGATACGTTGCCCGATGTGAAGACGACGTGTATTGTGCTCTTGGTGCTCTGGACTCTCTGTCGCGAACCTGATGACAGGGTGGGGGATTCTGCACATAGGCAGGGACTGGGGGCTGGGGGTGGTGGAGGGCAAGGATAGTTTAAGGGTGTCAAAGGCAGGGAGTAGGGAGTGGGAGGCTGCGGAAAGGAGTCCTGAAAAGTGGACAGGGGTTGGTGGGCCTGGCTTCATCCCAGCACTTGGTTCTGTGCCTGCAGCGGCCCCTCGGCCACTTCCCGGACATCCACTTCGTGGAGGAGGTCCCGCGGAGAAGCATGGAGGCCTTCCGCCAGCACCTGGCTCAGATCTCACACAGCATCCGCCAGCGCAACAAGTGCCTCCCCATCCCCTACTACTACCTGGACCCGGTGCTGATTGAGAACAGCATTTCGATCTAGGACTGCCCCTCCTCTCCCCGCCCTGCTATTTTCCAATAAAATCACTTCAAACGGCTCACCCTGAGACCGAGCATGCACGCGGCAGTTCCCTGGGGGGCGCGGGCGGGGTTTCCGCAGATCACAGCCAGGGGCTCTGGAAAGCAGCAGTGCTCCTCGGGTAGGTCCTCATTCCCAGGCGGCATTGGGAATATTGAGCAGGAAGAACGGTTCCATCTCATAAGCCATGATTCTGGTCCATCTTCAGTCCCCTCCGTCTGGGGACTTAGTCCACTCAAACTTTGCCCATCTAGGGGGGACAGAGCACTTGAGATCAGTCTGAAACATAAACGCCCACCTACCTGCGCTAAACAGCACCAGCCCACAAGAAATCCAGCCCACCCCAAGCCAGCTCACGCTGAACCCCAGACCAATCTAAGCTCCACCTACTAGGAACCCACCCCACCCTAAACCACACACTCCAAGCTCTGCCCACCCAGGATCTCAGCCTGCTTTTTTTCTGCTTGCTGGTTCTGTAGGCATTGGAGTTCCTGCCTTTTTGAGCCAGATTAAGCCACAGGGAAGAATTAGACACTGGGCTGGCTGACTGGATTCCCAAAGGGCCATCTATTCCTAGCCAGAGAAGGGATCAGGAAGGGTGTGTGGAGCCACTGCTAAAGCAGGTGTTGGCACAGGCAGCTCCTGTCGGGTTGTTCATACAGGGACTCCTGGAGGACTTCAAGGGGGAGGTGGGCCATAAGCCAAGCTTGATGCAAGGCAGCATTCGAATGAGAAAGAAGAAATTAGGGAGCCTCACCTCCCTATACTTGGTATGTGCTGAGGAGGAAGAATGGAAAGGGAAGGGAAGTTCCAGAGGGGACTAAGATGCTGCAGAACACATCATTCTGTGAGGCAAAAACCGGAGAGCCATGGAAGGCTCATGAGGGAGGTCATTATGTAGACTAATGGCAGGAGGTGGGGACCCAAAGGAGTGTCATGAGGACCTAATGATCCAGAGTGGAGGCCAGAGAAGTATGTATCCCAAGGAGACCTCCTGGGGGAAGATTTAGAAGGAAAAACTGGAGAAACGATGACTGTCGATGAACAAATAACGGTATTAGTAGCTAATGCTCAGAGAGCACATCCTATTTGCTGAGGTTTTTTCTTAGGGTTTTTCATTTAATCCTAATAATAACTTATGAGGTAGGTGCTGTTATTACCCACTTTGTCCCAAGATGCCCCAGGTCACATAGCTGGGAAGAAGGTGAGGAGGAAATCACTGGGAGACAGTGGGTGTTTGGGCAGAAGGTGGGGGATGCTGATGAATGAATCAAACAGCGGTGTAGCAGAGGGAGAGAGGCTCAGAGCCTGCAGGCCCCAGGGTAGTATCCCCTCTGTATGGAGGCCCAGATGTGGTGTGTGTTGTCTCTGGTCATAAGGGAGGTCCTGGACCTTACAGTCAGCCAGCTGGTAGGGAAGGCAGAAGTGATGGCCACAGCCCTTTGGCAATCAGCTCCAGGCACCGGTGTTGACTGTAATGAGCAGAGAACCCATAGCTGCCAGGGATAGGGTCTCTGGACTTAACCTCATCTCTGCCTTGCCCCCTCTGCCCAATACCAGGATCCTAGGCCTTCAGGCCTCCTGGGCCCTGACCTGGCTGAGGAGCTTTCCTGGCACAAAGAGCCCAATGAGACCTTGGATGGTGAAGTGAAAAGCATACCAGAAATGAGGAAGAGCAGTTGCTAAGAGCCAAAGCCAGACATTAGGTAAGGTATCCCAGGTCTCTTACCACTCTCAGCACTGTGACAAGGGGTCCTCTATACCTTGAAGATGGGGTGGACAAGGGCAGCATGGACAAGCCAAAGGTCTTTGCCATAAAGTGGGATCAAAGCCGATAGATGGCCAACTGGTGTACCTCAAATTCTGAGTGGTGAACCCAGGCCTCAGCCAGGAGCCAGTGCTCAGTTGGGTCAGATGGGAATGTTGAGTGTCTGAGTGAGCTAGAGTAAGGTGACAAGAGAAGCATCAGGTAGAAACTGGGGAAGTGTATCCAGGTACCATGGCCATAGGCCAAAGCACTTGGTGCTCTCCCTGATAGCTATATGTCCTTGGGAGAGTTAATTAACTCCTCTATAAGTTAACTTCCTCCTTGGCAAAACAAATTTGGTTTTAATAATCTCTCCAAGAGATAAAGGGACCCAAGGCCACTTCCTGTGTGCCAGTCCCAAGTCATGCAGTATTCAGTGGTGTGAGGCAGAGACAGAAAGGATGGGAAGGGATGGTGTAGAGACACCTCCCAGAAGGGGTTATGTTTTAACTGCCTGAGTCATGGTGGTTCCACCAAAGATGCATGTTTCAGTAGAGTCAGTGTTGATGCCCATTTCAGCTTGTTTTCTGACATGATCATAACCTAAACTTTGCATCAAGAAAGAGAATAAAATAGAAAAAGAGAGGGGAAATAATCCAGGGAGAAGCAGGGTAGGATCAGAGATTTCAGCACTGGGAACTGTAGAACTGGGAGCAGACCTGAGGGTGGGATATGATCCCAACCAGGTTCCCAGCCTTGTGCCTTCAACTGGAGCCTTCCGTTAATGATGCTGGGGAAGAGACCAAGAAGATGGTGGCCCACAAGGTACAGAGAGCTTCTCTAAGGGAGGGAAGGAGGAAGGAGGAGGAGGGTTAAGGGAGGGGACAGCCCCATGTAGTTCTGAGAAGCTTGGGGAAAGAAGTTACTCAGAAGCCCAAAGTATGTCCATTAATGTCTGGAGTCAGTAGCCCCATCACTGGATTCCAACCCAGTGACATCCTCTGGTTCCAACAAAGAGATTTCTTGCCTGAGTATGGGATATGCCTCTTCTGTAGCCAGGCCCATGCATTAATGACAGGCAGTGAGAGACATGAACCATGAGTTCTGCTGGCAGTAGGGGGCAGGGGCACTTTCCTGGATTTGGGGCACATATCGTCCCATAGCCCAGATTGGAGAGAGATGGCAACTCTGGGGAGAGCGCTTAGCTGACTTGCTATTGGGCAACCTCAGTAACCATGACAACCAACTCATTGATGTGATTTCTGAGCTGTGGGGTCCTGCCAATACACAGAGTCTGGCACAGTACCAAGAGAGGGCGTCAACACTCAGCCCTGGCCAACTCCTCCCATGCTAAATGGGAATGGCTGAGAATGAGGAAGCTTGACTGGAGTGGGGAGGAGTGAAGGCAGCCACAGCTGAGTGGAAGACATAGGACCTGAGGCCTAGGAACCTGGGATTGTGGGCTTCTATAGGCACTGAATCCAGCTGGGCCTGCAGACTAGTACTGGTGCCCAGCACCAGGGCCACCGTGGCAGTGGAGACTGGGAAGTTTAGTGACAATGATGGCTCAGGATGGGGTTGAAGCCATTCTGGAACTGGGAGGAACAGGTGTTCTGCCAGTGCTCACACATACCCTGCAAGGGGTGTACATGGGAGTGTCACTCTGGTCCATTGCTTTCAGCCTTGTCACTGCTCTCAGATTCATCCCCAGCTTCCCAGCATGGTCACTTCCTGATGATAGTTGGTTGAGCTGGATTCTCCTTCTCCCTCCCTAATGGTGGATGACTTCCTAGTGAGTGGTTCCTCAGAAAACTCCCTTGTAAGTGGCTTGGGCTCGGCTTGAAGGGTCCCTTGAACACTTTTGGCCTCACTTATATTGAAGGGAAGCCTAAGGTGTTTTGTGGTGGGCACTGAGACGCTGGTAGGAGGAGAGCAAAATCTGAGAAAATCAGAGGTCTGAAAAATGCTGGTACCAGCCCAGCCCATCCTTCCTGGGCTCCCACACCAAAGGGTCCCTCCTATTCCATGTCAAAAGTCAGCAATCCTTAATTTCAGCTACTTGGGATGTGAAGATTGGAGGGAACAAGGTTTCAGTCAGCTAGGCAAAAAGTTAGTGATACCCCATCTCAATTAATAAGCTAAGTAAGTGGCTCACACCTACAATCCTAGCTATGAAGGAGGCAATTAGTTGGAGAATCGCAGTTGGAAGCTGATTTGGGCCCTGAGTTCAAATCCCAATACCACCAAAAAAAAAAAAAAAAAAAAAGGAAGCTGATTTGGGGCAAAAGTGCAAGACCCCATCCTAAAAATAATCAAAGCAATAAAAGGAGAGTGACTCAAATGGTAGACTACCTGTCTAGCAAGTGCAAGGCCCTGAGATCAAATCCTAGTACCAAAACAAAACAAAACAAAACAAAAAGTCACTAGTTCTGTGGCCCATACCATGTTAAACCAGAGTGATTGTTCAAAAAGCGTTTGCATCCCTTTGGATGTGTTGATAGTGCCAGGGATGTTGAACCAAAGGTTCAACGTGAATAGTTTGAACCTGCAGAGCACCCAAGGAGACAGGCTATTGGCAAGTGGACATGCCTGAATGCTGTGACAGTTTGCTTACCGAGATTCCAATCAAGTAGGTACAATTTTGAAAGGAATCTTTTTGCTTCAGATTTTTTGTTTTTCCTCTCATTTGCAGGAGGTACTCATGGGACAACTTTTTTTCAGTTGGTCAGTGATGGGGACAGTTTGAAGAAGTGTGTATGAAGTTGAGGGAGGGAGCTTTTGCCTTAAGGAGGAGTGGAGTTGTGAGAAACTAGTTTCTGTCCATCCTTTTGGAAGCCCTGCCAGGTGATAATGGCTGAATGAATCACAAGGGAGGAGATTTGGGTGGGGTATCCTTCAGGGTCTCTCAGCCCTGACACCCATCTTTCCCACACAGAGGCCAACCTGGCCATCAGCCACTCCAGTGACAGGGAGTGCACTTTCTTGGGACAGAAATGAGGCGCTGTGCAGGACAGGAAAAGGAACTGGTGGCAGCTCAGGATGAGTCCTGACTTCCAGAATGTTCCAGTTCTATCTCTCTGGTTCTCAGTCCCACAATTTGGTCTTCCCACAGCCTCCTCACCCTCCCTTACACAGCAGATGTGACACTGGGGACTTGGCAAAGATGAAGGTTGGATTTTGTTCAGGCTTCTCCAGGGTCACTAACTGTTCAGAAGTCCCTTCAGCTTCAGCACAAAGTGTCCCTGCAGAAAG